CTGTTGGTATCAAGTAGCCATTCAAATCCAGAATGGGAGACATGACTCCACTTTTTGAGGGAGAAGTGGCAAAATGGACACTTGTTTCCCAATCTAGTTTCAGAAGGAGAATCTTAACACATTTACAGTATATCCACTGCTTTTCTGAAGTGGGGCCTACACTGCTGTAATAGAAAGGACCATACACTCAAAAAAGAGAGTGTAGAAAATTCTTTCTGGAGAGGCTAGGGAGTGGAAATGGAAGTGGGAAGAACAGGGGACAGGAGGAGTAAACAGATGGGCATATGAGAATTCTTAAAACTTGCAAAGTATCAAAACAAGCTGATACCACTAGCTTAATCTAGTATTCACAGATCTCTTTGCCTCAGAAGGTTTGCAAAAATGCCTAAAATTTTCTGCAAAATCATATGTGTAAGCGTGTATCTATAATTCTGGGAAGAGAGTAATGGTTTTCTTTGGATTTTCAAAGGTGTTAGGACCATAACAGAGTGAAGAATCACAGTACTAGAGTTTGGGAAAATTAACTCATATTTCACAAAGGGAATTTTTTTCTTCTTTTCTGAGGCTTCCAGCATTTCCAGGGGATTTGGCAAACATCAGCAAGGTAGAGCTCTGAAAATAACATCAGGGCTGGGCAGCCTGTGTTAGTAGGCTAGTTCAGTGCTGTAGGCACAGGATACAACAGCTGGCTGGTTGGTTTTCTAGGTGTTGGAAATGTGCATCAGGTTAGATCTAGGAGCAGGGATATAGTGTCTGGCTACAATGGTCAATCTCCACTTCTGACAAAGTATGAACCAATGTAAAATGAGTTGTGTTTAAATGATTTTTCATGTGACCTCATCTTTGCATAACTCCAGTGTTGGTTTCCTTCTGCAGGAGAACCATCCTGAGCTGCCCGTGATTCAGTTTAAGCAAAACGAGGTGAACGCTGCCTGGGAACGTCTCCACGGCCTGGCTCTCCAGAGACGGAAAACCCTGTCTGACGCTGCAGACCTCCAGCGATTCAAACGGTAGGGATCTGGCCACCGCTTTACAGAAACCTTTAAAATAGCAGGATGTTTGTTATTTGTATTAGCTTCCTTCTGCTCTTGTTAGCCATTAGTGGTCAATACTTCAAACCAAAGTGGATCATGTGCTTGCCTTTGAGACATCAAGGGAGGAGGTAGTTAAGTCAATGTTGTGAAGATCGGAGCCCAAAGAAATAATAATAATAAAAAAAAACAAAACAGCACTGGTGATTTAGTGATGGAAACTCTGCAGAAGCAAGGAAAGCAGATTGAGAATTAGATGGTGGTGGAAGGTGGAGTTGGGAAGAAGGAAAGCATTCATAAAGAGCTTACCGAGATATGTGAAGTATCTTTGGAAGCTCAACTGTCAGGAGGTCCAGGTCCTTAATATCTCAACGGAAACAACTATTAAGCGAGAATATCTTACGTTACTTTTTATTGGTATGTGGGAAGGCAAGGTCATTGCTCTTGGGTGACCCCAGGTGGTCCTTGCTGTGTGCTCTGTTGCACTGCTTGCTGTGCAATGCCTGCCATCTTCTTTGGTTGTAACTCCTGCCAATCTCTGACAGGGATGTGACTGAAGCCATCCAATGGATCAAGGAGAAGGAACCTCTGCTCAGCTCTGAGGACTATGGCCAAGACCTTGTTAGCTCTGAGGCACTGTTTCACAGTCACAAGGGACTTGAGAGAAACCTTGCAGTCATGAATGACAAGGTAAGCCACTGTCAGAGGAATGGCTGGCCCCTTGAGCTGGAAGAGGCATTTATTTGGTGGTCATCTTGCCCAGCACCATCCCTCCAGAGGGTGCAATAAATTCACCCTTTTCAATGAACGAGAAATTCAGTGGCACTTGAATATGCTTCCTTATTTTAATTCATATCTTATACATCAATACTGGATACTCCTTATTTTTATTTAAAATTATTTGTATTTAAATATACATACATGACTTACATCGTATAGTGTTTTTCTAATATACTTCACAATTTAAAAACAAAAAGTTCATACCTCCAAGGATGGTTTCCAAATCTCACTAGGTGAAATACCCCATGGCCAGACAGTCTTTCCTTTCATCTAACCACACTTTCTTCTGTTGCAGCTGAATCCTGTTTCTTTTTGTTCTTCTCTCAGTAGATCAGAAAAGTATTTTCTTCTTTTCCTCTTGTAATAAATTCTGAGACCTGCTAAAACCACCTCTAAATTCCCTTTTAAAAGCTGGGAAATCCCAGTTCGTATGTCTAGCGTAGTGGGCACAGGCACACTAGCACTTAGAACAAGGCTACTTTCTTGAATGATTCCCGTTTTTTACTTCTTCCCCTCACAACTTTAGCTATGACATAGACCGATTACTACTGAGTGTCCACAGGACAGTCAGCCCACAGAAAGACCCACACTCACTGTGCTTTACGTATAGCCTTGCCCCTGTGTACAGTTTTTACACACTCCCCCCACCTTTCTACTTCTTTTATTCTTCCTTGTTTTTGTTTTTATTTTTGGTCTTTTATCCTAATACTGAATAATAAAATCCCATGACCTGACAAATAATGGCAATGAAATCTCACACCCTAGACAAGATCTGATTGCAGTCGAGTATGAGGAAAGGGGTAATAACATGTGCAAAGTCACCCATATCCACGTTTTGCCCTACTAACCCCATTACTCAGGAATTGTGTTAAAAATGGTCTGGCATTACTGGAATTTTCTTGGCCTCCTTGGAGTCAATGTCTTTCTAACTCCCACAGTAATAGTTAGGGAAACGGTATAGCAGTCGTGAAGGAGCAGCTTAGGTGAAAACCTTGCTCTGACACTTACTAGTTGGATACTTTTGACCCAATACATACTTTACCTCTTAGTTTTCACATAAAAAGGGAATAAGAATAATTTCTACCTCATAGTATTATTAAAGGAAGAATATAAAATGAGAAAATGTGTGTAAAGTGCTTAGCACGATGAGAGATAAAACGTACTCAGTAAATCATAATTATTAATATAGTGTGTTGGTGTCATAATGTATCAGTATAAATATACTTACCAATTATCATTACTCATATGATTGTTTTTACTATACATTTTTTTGCAAATCTTTGCCAAGAGTAGTCAGAGTCCTCGGATTTCTTACTAGGTTTCTTTTTCGTCCCAAAGGTGAAGGAGTTATGTGCCAAAGCAGACAAGCTTACGTTTTCCCATCCTTCAGATGCACCTCAGATCCAGCAGATGGAAGAAGATTTGGTCTCCAACTGGGAGCACATTCGCGCCCTGGCTACCAGCAGATATTCAAAACTGCAGGCTTCTTATTGGTGGGAAATTCCTCCTCTCTGTGGCTCTGCCTAGCTCTACTGGGCACAGATATAATATCAAAAGCAGAACTAAGTGTGAAAGGCGTAAAACAGCCAGGGAATCAGCTCCACTGCCTGCTCAGTAGCGGCAACAGATTCAATTTACCAAAGGAAGTTTTTTGTGGACTTATACAATATAGTAGTCCCTACTTGTCCATGGTTTCAGTTACCCAAGGTCAACTGCAGTCTGAAAATACTGAATGGAAAAATCTAGAAATAAACAATTCACAAGTTTTAAATTGTGCACCATTATAAGTAGCATGGTGAAATCACTCGCTTTTCTGCTGCCTTCCACCTGGGACAGGAATCATTCCTTTGTCCAGCCCATTAGTCAGTCACTTAGTAGCTATCTAAGTTACCAGATCCACTCTTGCAATATAGCAGTTCTTGTGCTCAAGTAATCCTTACTTTACTTAACTGTCCTATTTATTAACGGTTATTGTTGTTAATCTCTTACTGTGTCTAATTTATATGTGAAACATTATCATACATATGTAGGTATAGTATATAAAAGATAGAGTTCAGTACTAACCTGAGTGTCAGGCTTGCACTGGGGGACTTGGAACGCTTTCCCCATGGATAAAGGGGTACTGCTGTACTCAGCATCACATCTCCACTCACCTCCATCCCGCTGTCTTCCCATTTGTAAAGTCGTGGGGTGCTATGGAAGCATTCCTAAAACTGGAAAAGCAGTTGAAGAAACATTTCAAAATCCTGCTTCCAGCTACGGAGCTGAACTAAATTTTCAAGCTGAAGAGCATCGAAATAACTCCAGTATTGTTTCCTGAATGTAGGTTAATAGCTTACAAAAAACCCTGATAATCAGGCATCATTTCCGTAATGAATTCTTATGATTAGTCTTTAACCAGAAGATAGTGTTTATCTTATTGTCATGATTTAAAACCAAATGGTGAGCATTTAATTTTTTGGAATAGGTAACTGTTTTTGCATTTTTTATTAATAGGGTTAAAAGAGAGCTAAGACACATGAGGAATCCTAACACTAATTCTAGTTCCCTCTTACCATAGGGTGCTTCCTGTTATTCATATGGCATGTATTTATTTATTGCTGCAGTATGATTACTTTATTCCATTTCAAATACCTATGGGGTAGGTGGGACCTTGTAGTGATGGAGACGTAATTCCCATATATCACATCACACAATGGCACACCTACCCCAGAAATATACAACCTGGAATGAAGGACTTACAACCTGCACCACTGAAGGAACTAGACCTGCAGTCCCCAACCCCAGGGCTGCCCACCAGCACAATAGCCACGGCCTATTAAGAACTGTGCTGCACAGCAGGAGGTGAGCAAAGCGGTCATCTGTATTTACAGCTGCTCCCCTTCACTCACATCCTGCCTGAGCTCCGCCTCCTGCCAGCTCAGCAGCGGCATTAGATTCTCATAGGAGCAGGAACCCTAACTGTAAACTGCGCATGCGAGGGATATAGGTTACATGCTCCTTATGAGAATCTAATGCCTGATGATCTGAGGTGGAGCTGAGGCGGTGATGCCAGTGCTGGGGAGCGGCTGCAAATACAGATTATCTTTAGCAGAGAGGTTCAACTGCACAGAGACTATAATAAATCAATTGCTTACAGACTCATATCAAAACCCTATCAGTGAGTGGCAAGTGATTATGTAATAATAATAGAAATAAAGTACACAATAAATGTATTTGCACTTGAATCATCTTGAAACCATTACTCCCCTGCCAGTCCGTGGAAAAATTGTCTTCCATGAAACCAATCCCAAAAAGGTTGGGGACAGCTTAACTAGACTTTAAGTAACAGGAAGTACATCAGGGAAGGAGAGGGCTACCATTAGAATGAGGAAGGACTCACACATCTTAGCTCAACCTAACCCTAACTCTTTGTTCAGAGTCCTTTCACATCAAGTTTCTCCCTCCTGTCTTTGACCTCACCTTTCCCACAGGTACCAGCGGTTCTTGTCCGACTACGATGAGCTCTCAGGCTGGATGAAGGAGAAGACTGCTCTGATCAATGCTGATGAGCTGCCCACCGATGTGGCCGGTGGGGAAGTCCTGCTGGACAGGCATCAGCAGCATAAGGTAGAAAGCAAAAGACTCCCCAGCAGGAGGAGGGGGCAGGTGATTCGGTTCAATACCAGGAATGCTAGGAGGCTTCTTGCTGCCTTTTGAGACCTTGTGTCTTGTGGCCACAGCATGAGATTGACTCCTACGATGACCGATTTCAATCTGCTGATGAGACTGGTCGAGCCCTCCTGGATGCCAATCATGAAGCTTCCGATGAAGTTCAGGAGAAGGTAATGTAGTTTAATAGAGTGTGTGAAATTTTGATGGCATATTTAGCCTTAATCTCATAATAATATGATAATCTCTGAGTGGGAGGAGGATAGAAGTCATCTAAGCATGTTAACAATAGGGACCCAACTTTTATGGTGCCCCCTTTCACATACAGTCATCCATCATTATCCATGGGGCATTGGTTCGAAGACCTCCCTGGGTTGCCAAAATCCATGGATGCTAAAGTCCCTGATATAAAATAGTGTGATGTTTGCATACAACCTCTGTACATCCTCCCATGTGCTTTGAATCATCTCTGGATTTATAATACCTAATACAATGTCAATGCTGTGTAAATAATTGTTACACTACATTGTTTAGGGAATAATTACAAGAAAAGAAAAGTCTGTACATGTTCATACAAATGCATTTTTTTTCCAAATATTTTCCCTCCGTAGTCGGTTGAATCCACGGATGTGGAACCCACAGATATGGAGGGCCAGCTGTGCTGTTGTAGTTAAATTGAATCACTTGAAAGTCTCAGGACACTGTGTCTGCTTCCTCACATCTGAGCTTTTATGTCACCAACACTCTGGCTTCTACCTAATAGGAAACTTCCATACCATTTTCCCTTTTGACATATGCTCTGTTTTGTCACCTTTCCACGCTCATCTCCAGACTGTAAATTCTATGAGGACTGCACCTATTTTGTCTGTGGATTCCCTAGTGCTTAGCACGGTGCTGGAAACATGGCTGGCACCTGTACCTTTTCTTCTTTCCTCTGTACAACCTCAAATGAAGCTGATTTTTCTATATCTGTGTTTTTCAAATTTACATTAAATAACAGGAAAACTTTAAACACTTAACAACTCCACTGGATGAAGACAACAGGTTTGCCATCATTCTAACCTCCTGGATCTCAGGGCCTCACTGCAGCGCCCTGACCCAGGGAGATTTTGCTCCAGTTGCAAAGTCTAGGAACTCCTGGGGATGATGGTAGCAATAAGATCTGAAGGCCTCTTTGCTTCTCACTAGTTACCAGCCACAGCCTCCAGCACTATGCAATGAGTGAGGTTGAGATAACTATGTTTTGAATTCTCCCAGTACTCTGTGGGGATATTGTAATATAGATTATTATTATTATTATTATTAACAAGTCTCTGCCAGAGCAATAGCAGAACCCTAAGTCCTTGAAAACTCACCTATTATCGTGGGATTCTCAGATTCTGTGCTGTTCCTTTGATGGAGTTAACACAGAATCAACTAAAGTAAGTTGGAATTTCTTGGGCAGATGCTTGACCAGAAACAAAAGCTTTTTTTTATGGGTTTAAGAATCTCTCTTTTTTCTTCCCTTGGTCATTCTCATTTTTTTTTTTTCAGAATAAAATGCAAACCTTTCAGTCTGACATTTTAAGTGCTCTATGAATTTCATCAAATGTGCACTTCTTTTGAGACACTGTACTTTTCTCTAGAGCACATGGTACAATCTAACAATTACCTTGAGTTCCTATAACAACATTTTTTCATGGCATCATGTCCTCCTACAATCCTGCTACCTGCTCCCAGCCCTTGGTACCTGCTCTCTGGTACAGTACTTCCTATGCTTTTCCATACATACTTCTACTCCCTGGTTCTTCCTGCCAGAATTAGTCCTTTCTTGGTTCTTTATAAATATTAAGTGTATTGTACTTCTTTCATGACCTTTTTTCCCATTTTTCTTATGCTAAAATCATTTGCTTAGATGTTGATACCTTAAGAGAAAACCCTATTTCCTATTTATTTTTGTATCCTTCAAATAGCTTTGCATTTATTGGATGCTCAATAAACATAGAATAACATAATAGGTAACATAAACATAGAATAACATAAATGATCTTCCTGATGTACTGCCTTCTCCTTTCCAAAGATGGGAATACTTGCCAACAACTGGGCTGCCCTGCTGGAACTGTGGGACAAGCGTCAGCATCAGTACGAGCAGTGCTTGGACTTGCACCTCTTCTACAGAGACAGCGAGCAAGTGGACAGTTGGATGAGTAGACAAGAGGTAGTGGGAAGGGTCCAACCAACCTCTAGAAATCATTTCTTCCCCCCCTCACTTACCAGCGTGACTACTATGAGCACCCTCATAACCACTTCTGTGGGCCAAAACTTGTCCTTGGAACTAGAGAATTATCCAAAGAAGAAAAGATAGGCCCTTTCTATAATGCTACCACCACAAATTCCCTTATGAACAAATGCATATGAAAATACCTAAATACATAGCAGAGAGGATTTAACCATAACTGAACATAAGGCAAAATGAACATCAAATTTATAAGGGCTGAAGAAGAGAAAAATGTGACTAGATTGGGGAATTCCATGTGGATAGACCCAGAAATATAGGTAGGAAAATTGCATAAGAGCATCAGGAAGGAGGCTTGAAGCTCCTACTGTTTGAGGTTAGTCTGTATCTACCATCCTAATTTGTGCTAATTCCTGCCCTTGTTCTCTAACCATTTCCTCTTCTTCCTTCCTTAGTCCTTGTGTCAGAGACATTCCAAGAGGAATGTTTCTCACTAACGGAGCATAGCTGGGGTGTGTCTTTCTGTCTTCTACAGGCCTTCCTGGAAAACGAGGATCTGGGAAACTCACTCGGCAGCGTAGAAGCCCTTCTTCAGAAGCATGATGACTTTGAGGAAGCCTTTACTGCCCAAGAAGAGAAGATTACAGTAAGAAATGGGCCGTAATTTGGGCACTGTCTTCCTGTTTGTATATAACATCTCATATAATACCTGTCCTTAGACAGAATCACTCCTTTGTACAGAAAAAAGAAGGAAGGAAAAATAAAAGAATCACTCCTATGACTACCAGAAATAGCATGAGGATTATTCTTAAGTTCTATACTTGTTCTATAGTTAGTAGTATTTATTTGTGTGTTTTTAAACTCTTTCATTTAATTTTATAAACATAAAATGTTGATATAGCATTAAAGTCAAACTTCATACTTATCTTTAAAAGAAAAAAAGTTAAAGTGTCCAGAAAAAGAATCACACTCATTTTTATCAACATACTTCTTAGTCTACAAAGCATATTTGGAAAGGTTTTCAAGTTAGTACATCATTTTTTTTTCTTTCTGATGAAGTGCATGATTGTTGTTTTATTGCTTTGTTCCTCTCTAGTAATATCTTAATACAGTTTTATCTAGTAATATCTAGATATCTAAGTAATATCTACTCTTTTCCTTCATAGCATATTTTTCCTTAACAGTGTATCTTCATCTTTGTGTTTCTCATCTAAGCTACTATAGAGTTTTCCTGTGAACCTTACAGTGTCCAGAAGACTTATCAATATATAAGCAGGATTCAAAGGAGTGTAAGGAAGACTTCATGGGTCCAATATATTATATGTCTGTGGCTGTCTTCTAGGGTGGTGCTGACTTTAACTCCCCCTTCCCACATGTACAAACATACCACCACCACTCGCAGCAACAGCAATCAAATTCCAAGCCTTCTTTGTTAATCTCCAATCAATTTGGAACTTAATGTGGTCCATTATTAATCCATATGCATGTTCTTTCTGTTGATTCTCATTGGAGAAAAGCTAACACTGTAAAATAATTTATTGTGTATAAAGTGCTATCATTTATTTTAGATCATTTTCCCATTCTGATTAATTCTAAGCTGTAGCAATTTGGGAGATTATGGATAAATATAGGTAAAAATTTGCCTCTACAATTTCTGACTCCTCTCCCCATGTAGCTGGAATTATAAATGTAGATATAGATACAGATACATATCATAGAAGAATAGATGAATAGATAAATAGATGGACAGATAAACTTGTACCACTGGGCGTAACTGTATCATTAATAGTGTTTCCTCTTGATATTTAAGCACAAATCAAATATTTAGCTTGTAGTGAGATATGGATTCATTTACTGTAGCCTGGATATATATTGCGGCACAGAGAAAGTAATTGACATGCCTAAAGTATATGTTTTGAAATATAATTTATAACAGAAATCTGAATGAAGACCTAGATCTTCTGACCTTCCAACTTGTTAGACCTTCCAATGTTGTTATGCTTCATCTTTAAACAACTACTCAAACTGTGACCACTTACCCAGTGGTCACAGAGGGAAAACCGCTCTATTTTTTTTTTTTTTTCCAGACATTAGACAAGACTGCCACCAAATTGATTGACAATGACCATTATGATTCAAAAAACATTGCGGCTATTCGTGATGGGGTACGTCTAATGGCCCAGAGCTTCTGTCTGCCTGTGCACTGGAGTCAGGGAAACTGTTGGGGGTATGGCGACCAGGGGGGAAGTTGAATCTCATGTACCCATGTTTGGTTTTGCTGACAGTGAGTTTGCTCGTGGTTTTTGCAGCTGTTGGCCCGGCGGGATGCCCTACGTGAAAGGGCTGCCACTAGACGGAGATTGCTGGAAGATTCGTTGCTTTTGCAACAACTGTATCAGGATTCAGATGACCTAAAGAACTGGATCAACAAAAAGAAAAAGTTGGCAGATGATGAAGAATACAAGGTAGGCAGGAGTTTTCAGGCCCTGGATATACTCATGAGGAGTTAGTTTCATGGAATTATGATCTTGGAGCCAAATGGATTTCGGTGTTCAGCTGGTTACTCGCATTTTATAGATGAGGAAACAGAGGCTGAGAAAAGGGCAATGACTCCCCTAAGATTATATATCTAGTTACAAATCAAGAATCGATATTCTGGTTATTCTATATCCTGCTGTTCCTCACCCCTTTCCTCTGGCACAACATCCAGTGACCCTTAACAGAGTGGAGGAAGGGTAGGGATGATCCTTATTAGCTGCTGTTGTCCCTTTATCAGCTTTTCTGCTCCCTCGAACTCCTAGTAGGAAGGGCTCTCTAATCTCAGAAATACATTAACAGTTTTTGAAAGCAACTAGAAACTCAAAAATATCCTAAAAGTTTGATGTAATAGAGACATAATTTTGTGGCTGGAAGGGAACAATCTCTTCTTTTATAGATGAGGGAACCAGGCTCTGAGTTGATAAGTAAATTGCCCAAAGCTATCCAGTTATTTAGAAGGTAGTTTAACATAAAAGGTTAGAAGCACGAACTCTGGAGAAGGTGAACCTGGGCTTAAATTCTTACTTTAGTTTGTGTGACTATGGAAATGCCTGAATTATCTCTAAGCCATAGATTTCTGTTTCTCAGAATTGTACTAAACACATATTTTGAACTAAAAAATGTTCCATAATAGAAACTATTATGCATACACATGTATACTCACAAAGCTTAACAATTACCATCAGGGCTAGAATTACTCTCTTGATTTCTAGGCCAGTGTCTCTTGAAAGTGTCTACTTTTCCAGATATCATTTAGTCTTAGGTGTGTACTCACTATCCTTTTGTTCTTATATCTCGATAGATCTATGAACACTTATCTGTAACTTTCATTCTATGAAACTAGATTGTGTGTGTTTGGATTCTCTAGAGGAATTATGGCTCCAGTTTATGTTGAATAAACAGATCTCTATGCACGGCTAATGCGTGGATGATCCATGTACTAGGAAGGGGATGGAAAATAATTCTCACCTTTCGTGACAGCTCCAACTGAGTGTTAATGCTCGCATGGGGTGTCATACTTAAAATGATCTTCAGGCAGTATCTGGGCTCAGTGGAAATAAGTCCTGGATTGGTTAGCCACATCTGCCACGTGTAGAAGGAGAGAAGGGTCACGTGAGTTTTCCAAACATTGGACTAGTGCAGTTCTCCCTTGTATCCTCTTCTTAGTACAGTGAGATTTACAGTGAGAAGCAACCCCCATAGTTAAAATTTCTGCCCCTCATTCTTCAAGTAATGTTCCCCCCAACCCCCTCCCATCTTGTCTTAGGACACACAGAACTTGAAGAGCCGGGTTCAAAAGCAGCAAGTCTTTGAAGAGGAGCTAGCAGCTAATGAGATCCTACTCAATAACCTAGAGAAAACTGGCCAGGAGATGATCGAGGGTGGTCACTATGCCTCTGACAATGTGGCCGCTCGCCTGAGTGAAGTTGCCAGCCTCTGGAAGGAGCTGTTGGAGGCTACGGCACAGAAAGGTAGGAAGCAGAGGTCTTGGTGAAAGGTCAGTTCCTAAATTCTGAAACCTGCCACATTCATCTTTCCCACCATGGATTTATCTGCTGACCTCTATGGGAAGGAAGGCTGCTCATTTGCCTCCCTGTGTCTTCCTTTTGATGGGAAAGAAGTTTTTAAAATCCAACCTAAACTGAGCACACTATATCTTAACACAATTTTATGTTTCCTTTGTATATGTAGAGGTTTTATTTTTTTTTTCCTGCTGAAATTACTTTTGTTTTCTTTACTTTTCTTCTATTATTTTTTTCTTTCTCTTAAACAGCTTATTCATGAACTATGAATTCAGTATTGGCCGTGTACCTAAATCTAGTGCACATATTTGGGTTCCATGAACTAGACAAGATATTATGGCCCAGGTGATTAAATTAGACATTCGAAGATTGTTGGCGTCACATGTGATGATCCTATAATATTTTATTCTTATAGATCTTGATCACTTGTTGCTGTTTTCACCTGTCTGAAAGTGTTCAGACTCTGCTATAAGCTCTGAATAAAATCCCACATGTCTTGTTGATTAGTATCTATTTATATTTTATGATCCATGTACTAGGAAAGGGATGGAAAATAATTCTCACCTTTCAGGACAGCTCCAGTTGAGTGTTAATGCTTGCATGGAGTGTCATATTCCTCCATACACCTCTTACTTTGGAAAATTGACCAATGTCAGCAATTAATACAGATAATGAGTTTTTTCTGTCAGTACATCCCTTGTTATGGACACCAACCTAGAAACATGACTCCGCTCTGGTTATAAAGAGATATGTCATACTTATCTTTTAGGATGTCATTCTGATTTTTGCTTTAGGATAACAAAAATCCAACTTGGCTATAACAATAAATTGGCATGGCTACTCTCTCTTGGGAGACATAGTAGTTGCTTTGCAGAATGCAAATAATTGCTATAAGGTCACATAATAAAGAATTTAGCTGAACAGAGTATGAGTAATAAATTTTCTGGAAAAGAAAACTGTGAGGCATAGCTTGTGATGAAGGACAGGCACTATGAGGGGACATAGCAAAATTCAGTGAAAGACATTTATAAAAAGAAACTTCCAAATATCAAACCGAACCAACATCCCATATTATGTTTCTCTTAAAAAGTAGGGTGTTCAGTTTTGAATTTCTTTGAAAAAGAGGTCTGAATAGAGAGTAACAAATAACATATGAAAATACCAAAGATGGTTAAATATCTGGCACAGCAGAACTATACCTCACCAGGGAATATCACTTATTCTTTGTTTTTGTTTTCAGAATGCCACTATATTCAAAAGCAATTCTATCATCAAAATTCTACAAATTTAAAGGGACGTCTTCTCTCTGGAATATCAAAATATTATATTGTTTTCTAAATTGAGGGAAGGTGCAGTATAGTGCAGATAGGAGCAGTTATGATGCTTAATGTGTTATAGCAATTGTCTTCTCCCAGGGACCCAGCTGCATGAGGCGAACAAGCAGCTGCAATTTGAAAACAATGCAGAAGACCTGCAGTGCTGGCTGGACGAGGTGGAGTGGCAGGTCACCTCAGAAGATTACGGGAAAGGCCTGGCTGACGTGCAGAACCGACTAAGGAAACACGGCCTCTTGGAGTCGGCTGTGGCTGCCCGCCAGGTTTGCTATTAGCTCTTTGGTCAATCGTAGGCAATTGGTGCGTATATTCTGATCACACCCATGATAAGTAATTATTATTATTATTATTAATAGAGCAAAGAACCAAGGACACCCGGGTGCCCAAGTCTCTTGTCAGAACCATGTGGCTGATGTAAGACTTTATTGACTCTTGTAGACCTAACACTCTTCTCTCAGTCCAGAAATCTGAGTTTTATGTATAACCTTATCCATTATTGGTTAGGTGATTTTTGGCAGGTCATTTCACCTTTTTGTGCCTCAGTATCCTCACCTGCAAAATAAGGGTTTTGGATAAAATAGCCTTTTCCTGTTAAAATATTCTATGACTCAAAGTTCGAAGATATTTTGAATCTTACCTTTTTTTTTTTTTTCAGTTAAGAAAATTGAAACCCACAGAAGTAAAGTGTCTTTCCCAATGTCACAAAGAAAATTAACAACAGGGCCAGGACTACGATACAGATGTGTAGGCTCCTGGTTTCAGGAATGTTTCCTCTAATATCCCACACAGACTATTATTTAAAGTCAATTTACCCAATAAGTTTCTAGATCATGAATACTATATATAAGTTTTGGAAGAATTCAGTGGAAATCCACTCCCAGTGACTCAATTTTTTATCCCGGGAATGCTAGCTTGTATTTAAAAATGATTCTGCTGTTCTCTCAAAGGTTCCTGTAATCTGTCCTGTTAAAATACATTTTTATGTTGTCTGCTCTTTGGTCATTCTGAGCTAAATGGGAAAGACACAATACTCTATAGAAAACAGAAAAAAAAAAGTCATGTGTATGGCTTTAGGGATTGCTCTACAGGGCTTTAAATAAAGTAAGTGGTTGCAGGTAGGAAAATCATACAAGGAAGCCTTTCGAATCTAAGTAGAGGAACATAGTTTCAAAAGACGGAAAGATAAAATCTGTTTACTTTTTTATTTAAAAGTAAAAGAAAAAAAGGACATTTTGAAGAAGATGGGCCATGTATGTAATAAATTAAGAAATAAGAGAATAGGAATGTGTGACTTCATTTGGGAAAGTTAGGGCAAGGGATCACCAGGAACTGGTTCTCCTAGTGGGAGAAGAGGCTAAGATATGATGCTTGCAAAGGGAATTTTAGATAGGGAATGTTAAAACTGGAAAAGCTCTTCAATATCCTCTAACCCAAAGTATTCATTAAATAGATGAGGAAACTAAGATCAAAACAGGTAAAAGAACTTTCTCAGGATCAAATGGCAATGGACTGGCAGCCAAGACAAAAAGCCAGGTCTACTATCTCCCTAGCCTGTGCCACCTGGCACTATGTAGATTAGAGGTTTTCAAAGAGTAGAGTGGATCTATAATGATAGTGATAATGACTGTGTTTGAAAATCACTCTATTATGATGCTTTCCAGGGTCCTCAGAAATAAGAACAGATGGCTAGTGAGAGCTTTTAATTTTAATTCTTTACAGATTCTTCAATATTTTATGAAGAAGTGAGCATATGTTTTAAGAAGCTATTGATAGCCATTTTCTTTTCCAAAGTGAGAAGAGTTAGATCAAACTCTTTGTAGATTGAGCACTGGATGGCAAACTAGGATAAGTCAAACCAATGCCTAATGCACCTACACTTCCGGAAGAAATTTTCTTATTTACCAACCCCCACTCAACAACCTCCATTAAAACACACACACACACAAACAAGTAAAACAGGCAGACAGACAAAAATCCGGGGTGCTGTGTTTCTGCCAGGCCAGTTATAGTTGATCTCACTAATAAAAAAGGGATTTGTAACTATTTTACCACATTGGCATGCAACAAAAATTTTATTTATAGGAAGATCCTGCAGACTCCTGGTTCTGAATCCTTTGTTTCTCAGATATGGCCCAAGTGGAGATAACTAGATAGTGGCCAAGGCAATGCCTTTACATCTCTCTTTCCGAGGTTCTGACACTTGTTTTTGTAGCATCACGTTTCATCTCATAGGAATTGTTCCTGCTATGCAAAAACAGTAAGCCTGAGGGGTTCCCATTTATTTATAGTTTCAGCTCATTCTAAAGAGACAGAAAGAATATGGAAGGGGAAACTGAGATAAAAAAAAAAGGCTCCTATATTTTTCCTTCGGGCCTAAATTTATCAGCACTGCCATTTAAAGCTCTGCAGTTCTGATATTTCTGATTTCCTTGAAGCATTCTATAAATATTTTGTACTTTCTACAATGTGTTTTGAGAGAACTACTTTGCTATAAATTGTCCTCAGTGTAATGAGTGGTCCTCAGTGTAGCAACCCCTCCTGCTCCATTTCGCTGACTTAGACTGAGGTCCCAACACAGCGCATATGGGAGCTGATTCTCCCATGCGCCTTCCCTCCCCACCAAACTGCCACCACTTCCCACTCAATGATGTCATTTCCTGACACCCATTCTATTTCTCCCTTAGGATCAGGTGGACACCCTCACGGAACTGGCTGCATATTTTGAAGAAGCAGGACATCCTGATTCGGGGGACATGAGGGCAAGGCAGGAGTCCTTGGTGTCCCGGTTTGAAGCTCTGAAAGAGCCACTGGCCACCCGGAAGAAGAAGCTCATTGACCTACTCCGTCTGCAGCAGATCTGCAGAGACACAGAGGATGAGGAGGCCTGGATCCAAGAGACTGAACCCTCAGCAGCTTCTACCCACCTTGGTTAGTACAGCCTGAGCAGGCTGAGCCGTAAGGAGACACCAGGGTCTGCAGATTGCTTGAGATCTGGGATATGGTAGTGAGGGGCTGGAAAGTTTTCTCTCAGCTCTTCCCCTTCAGACTCATGAAAATTTTGTCCAGTCTCCCATAAAAATATTTTAAAAATACTAAAAAATTCCCCTCCTAAAAAGAGACACGAATAATGCTATGAATTCAAGACCTGTGGGAAGAGCTAGGGTGTTCAACTTTTTGCTGCTTGCTCTGAAACTGAAGTTACTGTGAAGGTCCTTGGCTGAGCAGATGTAGTTAATGTTTGAGACACTGTTTCCATCTAGGTTGTTGGTGGCTGCCTTTTATAAACTATATGAGCTATTTATTACAAGGGTAAAAGAAGTGAAGTAGCAAAGTATAACATATATTTTCCTTTGAAAGGTATTAGTTCACCAATGAACCCAAGACTTCATTTACACTGAAGTACAGAAAAAAAGCCCATGTAAATGCAGTGCAACTTTGTGCATGTGTTTGGGAGCATCAGAGGGGCTGCACAATGAGGGCAATGAAAGAGTTAGTCTGGGAAAACTTCCTAGAAGAGAAAAACCTCAGGCTTATGGGAAAGGTACAGAGAGTTTCTGGAGAGATATTTTGAATGGAAAATATTGGGAAAGAAAGTTTGGAGGGGAGCAAGTTAAAGCACAATTAGGAGACAGAGAGGATGAAGCAGACAGCAGGAATTACAGATCTTATAAGATGGAGGAAATCCATGGCAGGTGGTATTTCTGTGTGCTGATTAAAGCCAGTCAGTAAGTGAAGTACTTTTATGAGCTATTTCTAATCCTTACAAATAAATCTTCAAACTGGTAATATTGTGCCTTTTTCATGGTGAGACAACTTACATTTAGGGGATTTAATAACTTTCTGAAGTATATAGAAATTAGCAAGTGGAAGATCCTGCTTTGTATGCCAAAATATACCAAAAGAAAATTGGTTGCATAATATTGGACATTCAAGCTAAGAATTTACTTGCCTTTCTACCTACCTTCCAAAAAGACAGTGATTTCTCCATTATCTTTTGTATGATAATGAATTGGAATCTCTTAGTACAAGAGGCAAGGGTAATAACAAAAATGAGTACAGTCAACTGAGGCAGATGTTATACATTTAAGGGCACCCAATCAATGATTAGAACTTTACCAGGAAGAACCTTTAGACCCAAGAGTTCTAAGAAATTGAGGCACACTACTTCCATACACCAGGATAATCTCAAACCTTGAAATTTCCTCTGTCTGTAGGCAAGGACCTGATTGCCTCCAAGAATCTTCTCAACAGGCACGAGGTCATCCTGGCAGACATCAACAACCACGAGCCACGCATTCAAGCAATAACAGAGAGGGGAAACAAAATGGTAGAGGAAGGTACGTATGATTCAGACTGAGTTGGCCAGAAATCACTACGCCAGACCTCTGGGAAGAAGTTTGTACAATCTTAGGGTTTCGAGGGAATTTAAAAAAAACTGATTGGTTTTCCTACCCAATTTTCTTTGGGCATTTCTGATAGATGAGTATAAAGCTTTGTTTGTATATTCTGATAGTAGGAATCATCCAATCTCATGAGCCAGTATTCCACATTTAGTAAACCCAAAATTATTAAAATAAAATGTGTTACCTTAATCATCAATATGCTTCTCTGTAGAAGTTACAGAATTCAGAGTCTAAGTTCCAAAGCCCTGCAAAACAGACCGGGTCCCTTTCTCATGTGGAAGCTTCTAGATCTGTGAAGATAGATTTTAGGATTGCAGTGTCTTGTTATGTTTATGATAAACAGTGCCATGTCTTTATATTTCTCACTTTATGTAGTTTCAGCGCCTCTCTTCATTCTAGTCTTCCCTATTCAGAAATCTCTACTGTTTAAATATGATGTTTAGAAATGTATATCATAGGCAGGTGTGGTACAAGCAATGTAGATTACATCAGGTTTTCCTTCTGTTCGTTGACAATCAATTGCTGCCAGCCAGTATCCAGTTTTCAAAGTGTAGCTTAAAATTCAGTATGCTGAGCAAAAGTTCAGATCCCAACTGAGTGATTCAGGCAGACAAATGTTTATTTGGGATTCCTATGTTACTATAGAAACTTGCCTTTTTCCCCTTGAAATCTCTGACTGTAGCTGTGGATTTTGTCTGCTTTTTTTTTCAGTTCTATCAGTTTTCATTTCATGTATATTGAAGCTCTGTTATTATGTGCACATACACTAAGGACTGTTATTAATATGTCTTTTTGATTAAGCTAAATCTTTATATTATGAAATAGTCATCTTTATTTCTGGTGATAGTCTTTGTTCTGATGTCTATTTAGTGTGACTTTAATATATCTTTTTGATTAGTTTTGCATGGCACTTATTTCTCCATCCTTTTGTTTGAATTCTTTTTTTCTTAAATATATATATTTAAAGTAGTTTTCTTACTCAGTTGAGGAGATGAAGAGGAGACTGGTAGGTTCTTTTTCAGTTAGCCCTCCCCGAACTGCATTCCAGAAACTTCCAAAGGAATAAGCTGTGGCAATTATAGGACATATTTCATTTCTTTCCCTTCTCTTAGGAGTCATAGTCCTCTACTCATTGTCTGAAAATCATTGTATCTAAGTTTGCCCTGTTTTCTCATTGTTTAGAGTGAAAGAGTAATTCCTATGGTGATAAATCCTTTATAGGAAGAAAAGGAAATCTGTTGATTTTTCTGTTCAGTTTACAGAAGGTGTGTTTTTGGAACTCTGAGCATTATTCACTCATGGGTGTTCTGTTTTTCAGGCTGTCTTTCACTATAGCAACCCATTCACTACCACACATACATGTCTATCCCCAATCAGCACGTATTACTGCTTCATCTCACTTAGGAAACTCCAATTCCCAGGGAATTGTCATATAAAAATATGTCATATAAAAATATGACATTGACAAAATGTAGCGCCATCCTATGCCTCTCTTTTTCTTTCCCAGATTATTAAATGATTATATAATACAGTAGACATTAATGATGGTCATACTAATTGTTTAAAAATAACTACTCCATAGAACACTTTGCTGCAGAAGATGTGGCCTCTAGGGTCAAGAGTTTGAACCAGAACATGGAGTCTCTCTGCGCTCGAGCAGCGAGACGGCAGAATGATCTTAAGGCCAATGTCCAGTTCCAGCAGTACCTGGCTGACCTGCATGAAGCAGAAGCGTGGATTAGAGAGAAGGAGCCTATTGTAGACAACACTAACTATGGGGCTGATGAAGAGGCAGCTGGGGTAAGGTGGGGGTGGAGTTGAACATTGTCCAGTGAATCCTCACAAAATGCTATTAAATTGTTAATTCGGGGTTTGCTTCAGTTGTGGGACAGCTACAGGTTATGCTAAATTATTTGGGGTTCCTGGAGCCATCACCTTTGGCATTTATCAGTTGGGATTCCTTCAGAATTGACAGGGATCCCAAAAGATACACCACATTTTTCTAATCCCAGAGAGATCCTAGATTATTTAGAGATTGTCCAAATCCAAAAAATACGGCCAGAGATTTATGCCTGTCTTGATCATATCCTAAACTTCCCAGAAAAACCTTGGGCTTTCATAAACCAATCATGCTTCTGCAGTTGTACTATATGGACACCTTAATTACTTTATTGAAATTGAATTAGCCAGATGTTGGTGCAAGAAGAACCTCAAAGGTCATAATTACCCTTTATATCTGTTTCTTTGTTTTGTTCGTTGTCCTACAGGAAGTTGGTATAGTATTTCACATATCTTTAGTACTAGAAATAAATGGAATACACATTTAAAGTTATGCTAAACGTTTATCCTACGAAGTAACAATATTAATCTTTCAGCTATGATGTGTGTTGATAAAAATGTTTGTGCAAAAGCTAAATTATTTTTGATTTTAGCAAACATATTAAAATTGTTATTTATTTTTTAATTCCCATTTTCTTGAGTTTTGCAAGTTTGGGCTAAAAAGAATTTTATAATAGTTGGAAAGTAGCTCTTCCCGGGATTTAAGGCAGTCAGCATAATGCAAAATAATAGCAGTTGAATCATCCCCCGGGGTTTCTTAGTCTTCCTATCTTCGTTCTGATGATCTTGTCATCAACAAATACAGGCTCTTCTAAAGAAGCATGAGGCCTTCCTAGTGGATCTCAATGCATTCGGAAAAAGTATAGAAGCTCTACGTGCTCAGGCAGAAGACTGCCAGGTAAGATAAACTTAGTGATGATGAGAATCTCACTTTGACAGAAGAAAAGGAATTCTCTTTATCACTAATTTTTACTTCTTACAACCCAGAAAACAATTGCAAAGAAAATACTAAGTTCTATGGTCCTTATAGGCAGGCAGAAATTGTAGCATCTGCAGAGACTTAGTCCCAAAGAAGTTGTCAATAAATGTTATCATGTGTTCATTGGTGTCTTTTTGGCTTTCCCTTTCTTCCTTTTTATACTTCTATCCTTTTTTTCTTTCTTTATTTCCCAATTTTCTTTGTCTGCATCTCTTCTTATCTTCCTTTCTAATTCTCTTACTTCATTCCTTGTTTTTTTTTAATACCAATACTTACTAAATGTCTGCTATATGCAAGTATGAATAAAAAATAATCCCGATTTGCAGGAAAATTACAGTCTATTAGGAAGTCAGAAATTCAAGCAATAAGTACATATAATAAATGTATGAATAAGAAAAAGAGTCTTGAAGAAAGAAGTCTTCTGTTCTCCTGAAATAAGAGGACTGGAAGATAGGAAAATTTTCGTAGCTGGGGGAATCCATTTTATCTGAGTTAATAAAGAAAAAAAGATGAGTGGTTTACTATGCAGGGATTTTCTAGTTAATAAGCCATGAGACCAAATGCACAAAGGCATAAAACAATCAGATGTATTTGGGAAATGGGAAGTGCAGTTGGTTAAGAATGTGAGTATGGCTCAGGTACAAGGTGAAAGAGAATGTCGTGAAGACTGGATGAAGCTGGAATCAAACAAATGCTATCAAGGTGATTCCTGTAGGTAGTGGAAGAATAAAAGAGCTACACTTCTTACATTCAGTCATTCTTTCTAATGAGGCTCTGAATTCACACACTTGGAGTAGACAAAAGACATAGACTCAATGTGGTCAGTCAATATATGTTTATGTAGCTCTTACACTGTGCCTTGGCCAGGGTGTGCACTCTGGGCGCCCAAACTAGAACAGATGGATTTATGCTTGTATTTTATGGGGAAACAGAGAACTTGAAGAATATGGAATCAGGCGGATCTGTGAAGGGAGGTTCATCTTCAGCTCCAATCTGATGAAGGGGCGGGTCATTGTTTAGGAAGAGGGGTTATATTTTGCTCATTGTCTCAGAGATATGATATTTGCAGAAGGTAAACATCACAGAAAACTCTACCTTGCAGTGCATATTGCTTTCTAAAGAGAGATAAAATATCTTTAATGACCTCAGTCAGTGTTCTCAATTGTTAAAATTCTGTGGCTTTTCCTGTGCTCTAAAAAGGAAGGTCCAGAGCTCCCTGACACAGTGACTTAAAGGCCGGAATGATGGGAAAAATTTTCAGTGGAGGCCGAGGAAAGGGAAAGATGATGACAGATAGTGTGTCTTTCACTTTCTCAAAAAATTTCTTGAAATATTGGTGTATATAATCTTCTTGGATGTTCTTAGGGAAGCATATTTCCTCTTCCGCTTTAATAACCAGTTGCTTATAGCATTTAATATGTTTCTGACCAACCACATATTCACTTTCTTGCTGTGCATTTATACTTCTCAACCTGCCTATCCCCCTGATAAGTGTTAGAGTGGATGATTATCTCTGACGACCACATATTTTAACCTCTGCATCCTCATAAGAGGTTCCAGCCAGCGGCTACTGTCTCCTACGAGGCCCCAGGAACTGCCCACCATTGGTGGGCTCTGCAGGGAGATACGGATGACTGACAGATGCTTCCTGTTTTTGTTTAGCAACAACAGGCTATGCCAGTGGACGAATCTGCTCGAGAAGAGAGGGTTGTAGCTTTATATAACTTCGAGGCCCGCAGCCCTCGAGAAGTCACCATGAAGAAAGATGATGTCTTAACTCTACTGAGTTCCATCAACAAGGTGAGTTTTCCTTCTAACCTCCTTTCCATCAAGAGTGGCTCTTCCAGAGTCATCTCTCCCAACCCTGCCAGATATATATATTATTTTCATCACCCATCGCTTTGTCTCTTAAATAACTATAACTAATTGAGTAGTAGCTTTCCTCCAGATATTGTACAAGAACCTATACATATCTGTTGGAATTATAATACCAACTTTACAGTTAAAGAAATGGAGAATCAAAGTTAAATAATTAGCCCAAAGATATAGTAGGTATGAGTGACAATTCTATAATATAGTTACAGAACTAAATTGTCCCGTTTGTCCCTTCTCTTAGCTTGTTCCTCTTCTGTACCAATATTCCTAGTGATGAAACAACCATGTCTGGGTTTAGGAGGAGCCTGAAGACTAGTCTTTTATCAACTTGATTTTGTTTAGATCTTGTGCCTTTGAGAACAGTGATAAAATATTGGTTGGGATTTTTACTATTTTTCCCTAAGAACTCAAGTAATTTTTTATACTCTGATACCTAATTAATCTCCAAAAATTCTTGAGAAGAAAAGAAGAGAGTTTGGGATATTGTTACTCTAAAGGTAAGTGAAGTTTTGGAGAAGCAAGCTATTTCATTTTCTAATATATGCCAGGCCTTTCTTTCTCTTTGTCTAGGCCCCTTTACTTCACCATATTATTCTCTGAAGAAATTAATTACAAAGAGGCCAGTAAGTCTAGCAACACTAACAACAACAACAACCACAAAAAAATCACATAAATGAATTCCGGAGCAATTCATAATTTTTAGAACCTCTGGAAAATTTTTTGTGCAATATTATCAAACATATATGCTCTACTCCCAAGAAGTCTAATTAGAACTCACTTCATGTGCTTTCTGTAAATTTCTCATGAACAAAATGCCCCATCATTAGAAGAGCTGTCTTTGGTGTTTAAAAAAGTTAAGGGTCTAAAATCAAATGTCAGATTACTTGATTTCAGAAACTTGTCTCTTCAATTCTTGTAATTCCTTGATTACTTTCTTTGTAATATGTAAAAATTATCTGCCTCTCAATGAAGAGGGTTAGCTTCTCTTGGCCATTGGCCTGTGCCTGTGCCTAGAGTCACAGTTAGAAGTCTTGGAGCCTCTCCTGTTTGTTCCAAGAAGTAAGGGAGGAGTGGGGGTCTACTCTCCCTGCAGGACTGGTGGAAGGTTGAAGCCGATGATCACCAGGGCTTTATCCCTGCTGCCTTTGTCAGAAAGCTGACCCCTGATGAATTCCCAGGGCTCCCACTGCGGCGGCGAGAAGAGCCAGGCAGCATCACCCAGCGCCAGGAGCAGATTGAAAACCAGTAAGTTCTGGAGACTACAGAACTGGACAGTGTTTGGCCAAACACTTCCCATTGGCTGAAGACTCTGTAACTGTTAGAGATGCCATAGCAAATCCACAGATGTTAAGAACTGAAAGTAAACCCAGGATCCTTCCAGTATTTCAGTTTTGTTGTGCGGAAAGGCAGCCCCAAAACCATTAAGTCAATTGCCTGAAGGCAGACTCGTACAGAGCCATGTCTTCTGACTCTCTGCCCACATTCTTTAAAGGTCATTTAAAAGTCAATCTCCTGGCATTCCTATGAACTTCGTTTATTATACCAGGCTGTTTCATATTCAGTTGTCATATAAAAAGTTTATGTTTATAGAATGAGATGTTGCCAGTCATACTACTGGGTCATTGACAATTTTATTATTTTTAGATGCTGTATTGTGTGTTCACCTCTCTGCTCCCCAGGCCCTTTTTCTTCTATCTTTGTTTCTTCCTCTCTTCTTTTGATATTTCCTCCCTCTCCCTTTTGTCTCTTTTATTCTTTATTTTTCTCACTCTTCCTCTACTCTTCTGTTTTTTTCTCCAACTTTTATTCCACTCTTCCCATTGTCTTGACATCTCCACCCAGGTACCATTCCCTCCTGGATCGGGCAGAAGAACGCAGACGCCATCTATTGCAACGTTACAATGAATTTTTGCTGGCCTATGAGGCAGGAGACATGTTGGATTGGATTAGAGAGAAAAAGGCAGAAAACATCGATGTGGTACTAGATGATGTTTGGGAACTGCAGAAGAAGTTTGATGAGTTCCAAACGGTGAGAAAGAGGAACTTTCTCCCAACACCTTTTTAAGGGTTGTCATTGTTTCCTTTTATCCCCTATCTACTTCCACATAAATCTTCAATTTATTTCTCACTTGTTAAATATCCTCCCCCAAACTACTGAGAGCTCTGCAGCTCAGCTCTTCCTTTGGGAATTGCAGTTGTTAAAAATTGGAAGGGAAATGCAAAGAAAGTTACCCTAACTGTGCAGCCTGCAGTCCCCGCCACTCCAAAATCCTGCATGAAGTTCCAGTCTCCCTGAATTCTTCAACGCTTGCCCTATAACTTACTGTGTTCCTGATGCACAGCTTGAGATGAAGTGTTGTGAATCAGTCTATAAAGTCTAATCATGGGGCATGGGTTGGGGAGGAAAAAGGGAAAGAACAAGCTGACTTTATAGCCAGATAGTTTCTAAGGTTTTGCCTGCATAAAACCTTTTCATTGTCCTTCCTTCTCTCAGATTTATTCCATTATCTTAACTAGCAGTAAGTGTACATTCCTTCCTTTCTTTCTCTTATGATACCTTCTACATGGAATTCTCTATCTCGCTATATATATGGGTTGGGGGAGAACTCCCTAGAGCTGTTTCTTACAACATCTCTTGACACAGGCAGATTGTAACTCAGTTAATAAAATTCTATAAAGGTGGAGGATTTTGTAGTGATAGAAAAGAATATTACACAGCTCAGGTATAAATCACTCTGATGGTATAACTAAACCAGGTGAGATTTTAAGAAATCTAGAAAAATGTATATACTGCATACTCCAGCTATATAATAGTTCCCTTGGCAAGTTTTGGAGAGCCACTAGATGTCAGAGTGTTTAAGGGCAGTCTTCTCCATGGCAGTTTAATGGAGGGCAGCTTGGTATGCATAACAAGTGAGGTTGGTAATATGTTTACTATCTAGCCAAGTAGGGGCAGAGATGAGGAGGCAAGAGTGGTGGATTCTTGGGAAGGATATTTACATTGCTTGGGGCAAATTTTCCCATCCAGGATTTGAAAACCAATGAGCCTCGGCTAAGGGATATCAACAAGATAGCTGATGATCTGCTATTTGAAGAACTTCTAACACCAGAAGGAGCTCAAATCCGGCAGGTAACTGAGACTCCCTCCAGTCCTCCTCACCACCAGGTTGGGCTTTGGGAGTCTTCATTTCACTCTAATATTCTCAACTTTATATTGTGCAGATTAGCTAGGACATGCAGGATGTAATGGCAGTTTAGAACTGATGACTGGAAAGGCCAAAGACAATAGTCCAAATCGTATATCCATTTTTGTTGTCTAAATGAACTTAATTGAAGCAGGTTCACTTATTAACATTTATTGAGTATTCTTTGTGCTCTCACATAAGTACTTTTGTAGAGGGGATGGAGGGAGACAAAATAATTGGGGGCAGAAGTTCATATTTACCTGTAAGTGGCAGTGTTAGACATATTAGAGCATGTGGCACTGGACATCAAGAAAACTGGGTTTAAGTGCTGGCTCACTCCTTGCCTGTGTCCTTGGGCAAGTCACTTCATTTCTAAGGATCTCAGTTTCTACATCTGACAAGCAAGAGTGTTGGATAGCACAATCTCCAAATTTCCTTTTAATTTTCTGTACTGAGCTCTATAAAATTGAACATAAAGTTCTTTCTTTCCACCTCCATCCCAGAATATAACTTTTGAACTGAAGTTATTTGAACTGACCTAAAATTCTTAAATTACAATACATACTCTTCTCCCCCTCACCGCTGCACTCACACAAGAAATTCTCAAATACATGAATGCAAAGAGAATGCAGATAAAGAAGCTTATTAGTGTGAAGGGGTTAATCAGGAAAGTTTACCGAAAGAGAAAGGTTCTAATAAACAAAGCCAAAAAGGAGAAGAATATAGAGCAGCAGAGATGGGGGAGGGGACATTCTTGACCTGATCCAGATCTGGACTTATGGTTCCATAAAAGACCTAACAAACATTCATGAGTGTCCAGTCTAGCTCTCTGGGTTCATAAATCAGTGAGCATGAGTTTTCTGCCTCTTTTTGTGTTGGTTGTTATGGGATAAATGGGAGAAGGAATGTGTAGAGGAAAAATTACTTGCCCCCTACAAAAAGTAGGGCTCTAATAGGTTACTCAATATATTCAATACAAGATACAGAAAGGTATTATGCTTGTCTTAGAGAAATGTGATAGCTCCTAACTACCAAAGCAACACTTTCCAATCAATTTTCTGAGTTTGTAATCTAGACTCTGGCAACAAGCATCTGCTCTAGGATTGATGGTTCCACCCTGGTACATCCTTTCGGGAAGAAATCCCTTTCTCTACTGCTCTGGCAAAAATGAGGCACAACCTCAAGAGTTCCAAAAAAGAAGTAAAGCTATGCAATTTCTGAAGAAGACAAGAACAAGCATGATTTAAATCCCATCCAGTCTTTAGACACCAGTGGGGTATCTGGGTTAGTTCTCTGTCTCCGGTCTGATGTGTCTGCCTCTTTCAGGAATTGAATGTCCGTTGGGGTTCCTTGCAGAAGCTTGCAGATGACCAGCGGCAGCTACTGGGCAGTGCCCATGCTGTCCAGATGTTTCACAGGTGAGAGTTGTAACTCTAAAAGGCAGTGCTGCTCTAGAACCTAGTCACAATACTCCCAAGTCTAGTCCCTGTGGTAGAGCCATAGCTATCAGTTTAACCCTCCTCCCTGAGATGGAGACAATTTGCCAATAGGAGATCAGGTTTCTCACTAGTGGATTCTCACCTGACACACAGGATATTCCCAGACAACCAACTTCAATTTTCAAATACCTTAGCTGGGCCCTGGTACATAATTAATAGTCTATATATGTTTCCATGATAGTGAATGAAAGTTAAAGTAGAAACCAGAAGTTTTAAGTAATTACATTTCTGAATTATAAGCAGACTGTTGAGGGCAACAGATGTCACATTGAACTTAACTGCTCATTCAACATTATTTTGTTTGATTTTCAAACCTTTGTTGACACTAGAAACACACACAGTCATACAAACAAACAGAACAGAAACCAAACACCTTCAGTGTGTATAAATGTATTTTTGAAGATGCAGGGAAGGAAAACTGAGACTCAGATGGGTCTGGCTGTTCAGATAGCCTAAGATGGAAATCTGTGAAATGTAATGGGTAGGCATGTGGTTCTGCAGTCAGACCACCTGCTTCAAACTTGGGCTCCACCATCAGGCGGTGATGTAATCTTGAGATTGGGGCCTTTCTTGGGCTTCAACTTCCTGATATGGATCATAAGAATGGTAATAGCAATTATGCCTCCAGGAGCTGTAAAGGCTAAATGAGCCTAAGTGTTTAGCACATTATAAAGGGTGACATTGATAATGGTGGTGGTGGTGGTGACTTTCTTGTGAGCCCTGCTAGTCTGCCTGTGGTATACATCCTAACTCCTAAACTCTCTATTCTCTTATGTACCAGAGAAGCAGATGACACGAAGGAGCAGATTGAGAAGAAGTGCCAGGCTCTCAGTGCTGCAGATCCTGGCTCTGACCTGTTCAGTGTTCAGGCCCTTCAGCGACAGCATGAGGGCTTTGAGAGAGACCTTCTACCCCTGGGGGAAAAGGTGAGATGTGCTTCTAAGCTTTTTTTTTTTTTTTAACACTTTTCTCTTCATGTTTATGCCTACACCAATGCCCCCTTCTTTGGTCCTCTTTCCCAGTTCCATAGTCTTATATTCTCTTTATCTTGCAACATACTTGTTTTTGTACCTGTCCCTACATAAGACCTCTAAAAGCACATGCCCCCATGCCCATTAGCAAGGGGAAAAATGCATTGCACTTCTACTGTGTAAGTGAGTACTCTGTGTCCCTTGCCTCTTTAGTGGGTTCCAAGCAACCAGAACTTGTGGCATCTGGTTGTAGGCCAGTAGCCTAGGATATACAGCACATGTCCATATGCCTGAGCATGGACAGGATAGTCAGGCCTATGCCTGAGCATGGTGCAATTTTTTCTCAGTCAGGAATTGAATGAGTTTAACTCTGCTCCAACCCAAAAGTGAACTCTGGACCTTGGACCTTGCCAGACACACTCAGAGGCTTCATACAGTTTGACACTATTATGCAGAGCAAAAAGAAGCCCAGAAGATGTCTATATTAGAAAGATCTTCATATGAAGAATGAGGACGCTTGGATTCTCTAAGTGATGCTACCATTAACCAGAAGGATCCCTTAACCACTCTTTCCCACAATTTGTTTTTCTCTTAAAAAGAAGTATAATAATATCCATTTTGACTACTTCAGAGTTATCATGTAGACTGAATGTTGATGTTATTTTATATAGTATTAAGACATGCTTGTATATCACTGATGTCTATGTGGGGAGATGAATACCAGAACTCAAACTCTTCTTTTGCTAAGATTCAAGTGCAACTCTAGGCTGATTATCAGAGCTCTTGCACCTCCCCAGGTGACCATATTGGGGGAGACAGCAGAGCGTCTCAGTGAGTCCCATCCGGATGCCACTGAGGACCTGCAGAGACAGCGACTGGAGCTGAATGAGGCATGGGGTGACCTGCAAGGGCGCACACAGGATCGTAAGGAAAGCCTAAATGAGTCCCAGAAATTCTACCTGTTCCTCAACAAGGCCAGGTAAACCTCAAAGGGCAGACTTACACCAGATAGGGCAGGCAATTGCCATGTCTGGCCCCTGAGGAGAGCTTCTAGGAGCAGTCTTGGTGCAGATGCTATTCACTGCTAGGTGTGGAGGGCACCACTGTGTCCAAGTCTCACTTCTTGTAAGGCACAAACATCTCAGATTCAATGCTTCGAGCCATAAAATATTGAAGTTTGAGGGAATGTAAGGCCATCTAGGTTAAATTAAGCACGCTTCTGTAAATGTATACTATACATAAGGTACTAGTTGTGGGGTGTTAGGGCTTTTGTTCAATTGAAGAGGCAGAGTAGAATATGAATAACCATGGCAGAAGATGATAAGAGCTGAAACACACATCCTGACAAACAGTGGGAATCCAGAGGTGAAGAGAACAGGTGATGCCTTGTAGATAAGGTGGGCATTTCACTGCACCTTATCAGCCAGGATTTTAACAGAAGACAAAGCTAGTCATGTCACCAGAACTGTGCAAACAAAGGCACAGGGATCTTTTTTCGGTCAATCCCAATATGTCTATTTCTCTAGGGACCTACAGAATTGGATCAGTGGCATTGGTGCCATGGTATCATCGAAGGAGCTGGCTGAAGACTTAACTGGCACAGAGATCTTGCTGGAGCGGCACCAGGTATGGCTACAAAAGCCATAAACACTGATTACTTGACCTAAAAACCTCTCCTCATTTTACAATTTTGGATGGAATTGACCTCTTTAATCTCTTACCCCTTTTTCCCACAGGAGCATCTAGCTGACATGGAGGCAGAGGCTCCTACCTTCCAGGCCTTAGAACACTTTGGTGCAGAACTTATAGATGGTGGGCATCGTGCTAGCCCTGAAATTGAGAAAAAGCTTCAAGATGTCAGATTAGAGAGAGATGATTTGGAGAAGGCTTGGGGACAACGCAAGAAGATCCTAGACCAATGCCTTGAGTTGCAGGTATAGAAAATTTCCAACTGTTAGAAGATTTAGCCTCTGTTCCTTTTATACAATTTTACATGGTTCTTACAGGCCCAGTCGATTTTTCATGTTGCGAATACAAGGGCATCTCTTGATTATCTGGCGTTGTACTCTGTTTTGTAGACTTATCATTGTTTTATGCTCAGCTCTCATCGCTCTTAGAAAAGCCAAACAAGATAGTGGTCAGTCCTAGATGTGAAGTGGGGTGATCATCATTCATTGATTGAGTGAAGGATTTGTTGATTGATTTTTATGAAGAACCTACTACATGAAGGCCCTGGTGCCACAAAGATTAATAAGATAGTGACCCTTTTCTTAGGTGGTGAAATTAGACATATAGACAGATCATTCTAGTACAGTGAGATGATTATCAATAAAACAAAACATATGAGTGCATTTATGCTAAACAGGAAGATGTGATTAAAGCTTCTGAGAGAAAAGAGTGGGGGTGTCATAGGTTACCCTGAAGGATAATGTTTTAACAGTGTTAAAGAAATAACCAGCCACTATTCACAAGGTATAGGAAATAGTACTCTAAGAATTGGAGATAGCTTATATATAAACTTAAAGTGTGTGTTCAGGTAAGTGTAAAAGTTTCAGTATAGCTAAGATTTGTCATATGAGTGTTTCTTGGAAGATGGTGAACACCTTCTGTGTTCCCTTTTTGTTACTGTCATGGGAGAGGAGTAAAATTATTGCCTTGCTCCCCCTGGAATGACTATACTGTTTGCCTCTAATTTCATTACCCATAGTTGTTCCAAGGGGACTGTGATCAGATTGAGAGCTGGATGGTGGCACGAGAGAATTTCCTGAGGTCAGATGACAAGGGTTCCTTAGACAGTCTGGAGGCCTTGATGAAGAAACGTGATGATTTGGACAAAGCAATCACTGCTCAGGTAATAAATACTAATATAAGAGTTCTAATAATAACTATTAGTAGCAATAGCAGGAGTCCTATACATTTTTCTGGTATTATGATTTATAAGTATTCTGATTCACATTTGACTCTTATAGAGAACTCTGAGCAGACAGGGCAACTGGACATTTGACATTACCTTTCCCAAGTCATATTTGGCCATTGGACTTTCTTAGTTTAAGTCTGGCATTCTAAAACCCAGGTCATAGAATTGGAAGTGATTTATATACTGTCTATTTCAACATCCTACTCAACACAGGATTCACCCTCTCCAATGATCATGGGGGGTGTCTATTCTTTAGGGAACTCAGTATCACATATGCAGCCCATCTCAGTATAATTATTAGATGTTTCTCCTCTTGTTGAGTTGAAAGCTACCTCCCTGTAAGGCATTTACTCTTTGGTCCTGGGTCTGTTCCCTGAATCCACAAAGGATATCTCTGTTTTTTTCTAGGAGGGAATCTGAGTTTGCACCAAGGACCTAATGTTTAGGCTTCTGGGCTCTTTCCTTTTCCTTCATCTAGGAAGAGAAGATCACTGACCTGGAACATTTTGCTGAGCGGCTCATAGCTGATGACCACTATGCCAAGGAGGAGATTGCTGCTCGCCTCCAACATGTGCTAGACAGGTCAGGCTGAGTGACTATTTTGTGAGCTACAGGAGATGTAGCAAAATGACGAGTTTGCTAGCATTATGATGGAGAGGGCATTCTGAGTTTTTGTCATTTCTAGATGCCTAAAACTATCTTGACACTTTTGGAAACTTTCTAACCTAGATTTATAGAATGAAAGACATGGAAATTACCTTAGAAATCACCTGGCTTAAACACTGTGTTTTATATTTGAAAGCAATGAGATTATGTGAGAGGAAAAGGGGCAGGTCAGTAAATGGGAATACTTGTAGACATGTCATCAGTGTGTGGGATAAAGGGTAAAGGGCAGAGGATGATCTGGCTCCCTCCTCCAGATGGAGGGCTCTCAAAGCACAACTGATTTCTGAGAGAGAAAAGCTTGGAGACTATGCTGACCTAAAACAATTCTACCATGACCTTGAGGAGCTAGAAGAATGGATCAGTGAGATGCTGCCCACAGCCTGTGACGAATCCTACAAAGACCCCACTAACATTCAGGCAAGTTCAAAAGGGGAATCTCAGAATATCTCACCATTTCCAAATTGCTGGTTGAATGGTAATCCCCCTTTGCATTTTAACACTGTCTTATTGTTGAACCACTGGGCCTGTCCTCAGGGACTGGAATCTACTACAGAGCAGGTCCTTCAGAAGTCACCACCACCTTGATTGTGAAAGAGAGATTAAGCCTTCCTTTCAATACTTTACCTTATTTCCCCAAATAAGAGAGTAATTTAGTTTCTGCTCTCCTTACAGAGGAAATACCTGAAACACCAGACCTTTGAAAATGAGGTCAATAGCCAAGCTGAGCATGTGGAAGGAGTCTTCAACCTGGGGAACTCCCTGATTGAGCGGAAGGCATGTGATGGCAAAGAAGAAACTGTGAAGGTAAGGGTTCTGATCAGCATGAGTTTGGGATTGCAAAAACTCATAAAGATACATTGTTTACTCTTTCAACGTTCCATGTATGGCTACATAGAATATGTTCTGTGATTAGTGGTTTTCCACTTGACTATTGCACCAGGAAGGAAGAAAATGGTGATGCTCAGATTTTATTGCCCTCATCATTAGTACCTGGAACTCTAAGAAAGAACTCCCAAAATTCCTGAGTTGTATCATGCTTGTTTTACATTTTCTATCCCTTCTGCTGAGAGTCTTTTGGTATTTGGATGCCAGTTGCTATAATCAGCCCAAGATCCTTTTTTCAAACTTTTCCTTTCATTAAACACCTCCTGACGCTTTCCCACATAAAGTGTAACTTGTTTGAAATGTATGATATTCAAGTATCAGCAAATTTTAGCTAACCCCCGCCTCCAGAATCTTCCTACATTCTCCTCTCAAGTAGTCACAGGGCCCACAGTCTTAAAGACCCATAATGACCCCTCACTCCCTTTGGGTTAGGGGCAACTGGAAGAGCTGGAGAGACATTGGGACTATCTGCTTGAGAGAACAATTGACAAAGGGCAGAAGCTCAAGGAGGCTAGTCGCCAACAGAGGTTCAACACAGGCATCCGGGACTTTGAGTTCTGGCTCTCGGAGGTAATTGCACCTTGAGATGGGGGTGGGGGTGGGGCAAGAAAGTTTAATAAATACTTGTCAGATAAATGAATTTGTCCATGAACAATTTCCTTGACTTTTCTTGGGAAACGTTTGGGGATGTAGTTGCTAATCTTGTTCTCCTTAAAGACAGTTTTCACTGACAGTTTTATTGCCTATTTCTCCATTCCCAGGCGGAGACACTGCTGGCCATGAAAGACCAGGCCAGGGACCTGGCTTCGGCAGCGAACCTGCTCAAGAAGCATCAGCTATTGGAAACAGAGATGTTGGCTCGAGAGGTAAATGTGCTAGAATTCCACTCCTCGGCAGACTGGAAATGTTTCTGACTTTTCTCTATGCTCTCTTAGAAAATTATTTGAAAACACAGCTTTGTAACACTGACCTTAGTGTTCTCAACCAGCAGTCATTTCAATCAGGTCAAAGCCATGGGCTGCAGAGCCATTGTAACAGTCTCTGTTATTCAATTATCACTAAGCTATAGGTTCCAAGACTCCAGGAAGTGGATCCTAAAAGCTATCTTGTTTATCTACTTACTGATACATGCATATAAACTATATTCCAAAGCTATATTTGGTCTGGTCTTTGAAAGACAGTGAAAGTTTACCTTACAGAATTAGAAAAAATAAAATCAGATGGGGCATGTGAAATTAAGTTGAACTATATATACACTCTGGAAACCCGGTGGAGGATTCCAGTTGTATCCTAATGTCAACCAAAAATTTATCCTGAGAGCAGTGATAAAAATCATGGCAGGTGTTAATTTCATGCTGGCAAATTTTATAGTATCAGTTTTATTTGGTAACACAGATATACACAGAAAGGGGAGGAAGTCAAAGGCTTTCTAGGTTCAAGTCTTCAGGACCTGCTGCTATTTCCTGTGACATCACAAGGCATCTGGGTTAGAATGGGACTAGACACAGAAGAGCCTGGGTGTGTTCTGCGGCCAGCCTAAGAATGTTGCCAATAGAGTAGTTCTTGTTGAATATTTCAGTCAGTCAGTCAGTCAGTCAGTCAATCAATCAATCAATCAATTTTTAGCTGTCAGATTCAGTACTGTGAAGGAAGACAGTCGTGTATGGGGACAAGTGATTGCTCATCAAGATCTTATATTCTCGTTGGGAAGAGAAGGCAAATATAGGTGAAAACATCATGAAGAGGCACAGGACACATAAAGCAAAATGTAAACTTTGAGTAATGTAGTCAAAGCTGTCATTGTTCTCTCGTCTGGCCCTTACCCAACCTGTACATACACTAATATGTATATAACTCATATTCAAATTCACTACCTTCAAAATCAATTTATTTGAGCCAGGCTTTCAAACCGAAGTCTAGGATCTGTGTAATACCTGTACTATGCTGTTCACGGAGCACACTGGCCTTTCTAGGATGCACTCAAGGACCTGAATAAGCTGGCTGCAGATCTGCTCTCTAGTGGGACTTTCAACGTTGAACAGATTGAGGAGAAAATGGATAGCGTCAATAAGCGCTTCCTGAATGTCCAGAACTTGGCAGCTGCACACCATGAGAAGCTGAAAGAGACCTACGCCTTGTTCCAGTTCTTCCAGGACCTAGATGATGAGGAATCCTGGATAGAGTATGTACTACCAGTTCACAATGGGTAGATAATCCAAGAGAGTAGATAATCTACCAAACTTGTTCCAATGTATGTTGACATGAAATAGGTCGTTGTTTTATGAAGTTGGTATTAACTTCTTCATGTTTGCCTTTGTCTAAAGTTAACATTAATTTTATTGTTCTCAAATTCCTTCATCAAATGCAGGAAGAGAGAGAGAGAGAGAGAGAGAGAGAGAGAGAGAGAGAGAGAGAGAGAGAGAGATAGGCATGGAGAGAGTGGGGAGCAGTTACACACATGCTGGGCACAAAATTAAGAATTCATATATGTTTATTCTAGATAGTTCATAGAAAGTGTAATGCTCGCAGAGTCAGCTGGACATCTATAGCCTACCCAGGTGATCAGGTCTTTGTAACTATTCTTTTTATATCCAATGTATCATATATGACACTGAATTAGACATCATACAGACAATGCTCCACAGTATCTGCCATGATTTCATTACTAAATCTAGTTTTATTGCAAAAACTATGGTTGGGAAAATCTTAGAGAATCAAGTTATTTTGCCTACTTCCCATCTAACCTGCTTCATTATGCTTCTCTTCTATGAATCTGCTAATTCTTATGAGTAATCAATGCATTATAGGCAAGCATAGGACAGTAAATAAGACATTTAAAAAATCTTTTTAGAAGCCATAAGAAAATAATCTTGTCTATGTAGACTTTGACTGTGCTTCATGGTGACGTTCAAACATTTTAAAGTTGGAACCATCCAACCGCCATGACTCCTGTAATAGTTCCGTAGCCCTTTCTAGCTAAATTTATTACTGATATTAATAGACAGAAATAATAAAAGCCATGGAGGTCCTTTGTAATTTTCACATTTTTTTGAAAAAAGGAATATTAGTGCAAATTTTGAGCAAAAAAAGAGAAAATACACAGGTAGACAGGAAAAGAGACTAATAGGAAGGCTGTCATAGCTGTGCATAGGATCATGATTATGTTATTTTAATTCGTATTGGCTTAAGTTGGAAGTTTTATGAATGGCTCTGCCACTAATTATGTTTTCAGATATTGACACCAAGATGTTCCATAATTTACGACCTCTACCACCCCAAGCCACACACACGCTCTTAGAAAACTATTGCTTTTGGGTGACCTCAGATGTCTAAACTCCACATTTTCTGTTTCCTTTCTTGGTCCCAGGGAGAAGTTGGTACTAGTGAGCTCCCAGGACTATGGGAGGGATCTGCAGGGTGTTCAAAATTTACTGAAGAAGCACAGACGCCTAGAGGGGGAGCTGGTGGCCCATGAGCCTGCCATCCAGGTAGGACTAGCATATTAGACCTGAAGAGAGAGAAATAATCTAACAGCAGTCCCTAAAGTTACAAATAAATAGGGAGGACACTACAGAATGTGCAAATAGAGTGCCAAGGTCACAGAGAGTTAGTCATAGAGTTGATAAGTGTTCTCTTTTCTTCCATATTTTGTCTTCTATGAATAGAAGAATTCTGTACAGGGACCTACACTCTTCCCTGGAGAGAGCACTTCTAACATCTCTGGGCAGTTGTTGACAATTGGGGCACAGGTTGGGACATCTGGCAAAGCTGTACTTGAGCCATATGGGAAGAACACAACCCTGGGTCTAAGTTGGCAGCAGGATCACTCTGTGACCATGAATAATCCACAAAGCAGATCCTGGAGAGTAGCCTAGCACAAGAGCTGAGATATTTCAATATTTGAGAAAATTTAGCATGGTAGATATTGCTTCAGCTTTCTTTATTCTCCCAGGATTTTTAAGACCATCCTAAATCCCAAGGAGTGTATAAACTATTTGGGGGTAGGAAAAGCTAGATGCTTTGCCAGGGGACTATGGCTAAATGGGGAGAGACCATGGGGTAACATGGTGTGGATACCGTGTGTTTTTCAGAATGTGCTGGATATGGCAGACAGGCTGGGAGACAAGGCTGCTGTGGAACAAGAGGAGATCCAGGAGCGACTGGCTCAGCTTGTTCAACACTGGGAGAAGCTCAAAGAGTTGGCCAAGGCTCGGTGGGTGGGGACTAGAAGGCCCAATTCTCTTGCTGGATTCCAGGTCTTAGGGTGCTGTTGGGAGCATCTTATGTGCCTGCTCAGCATTGACTGCTCTCCCCGGCTACCCATCTGTCTCTCAGGTCCCTGCTTAAATGCCAAGTCTTCTGTGAGTCTTTCCCCCATTCACCCCAGACAGAGTGATCATTGCCTACGTTCTGAATATACCCTTCCTCTTGCACTTACGTGCAGCTGTCTCTTATTTCTGTTTTCCTAGGTGTGTTATCCTTCATGCCAGACTATTAGCCACACATCTGTTTTGCTTTTTGTCCCCAGTTTTAATATTATGTGCAGTCCTTATTAATGGAAGAAGGGAGGAGTATTTTTCTCCCTCACAGTCATATAGCAAATATGAACCACATAGCTCTATGGCCAAATGTAACAATTTCTATCTATAATTCCATGCCTGTGGCCAGTAGGAAGACATGTCTTCCTGGGGAATGAAAGGGATCTTCTGACTCTTTCGCGATGCCTTCATCTTACAAGAAAGAAAGCAGCGCTCAAAGTAAAAAAGAGACACTGCTTCGCTGATGATATTCTCCAGCTCTGAAACCTCATCATTTCCTTTTGTTTGGTCAGGGTTATCTTTCTCCAGTAAAGTTTCCTATAGAGTAGATGATGACATAAAATGAACTTCTAGGGCAGGAGTGTCCTCCACGTCAAAGAAGATGTGCACCACTGGCCAGTAGACACATAGCAGGCTGTACTCAAGCCCAGTTCAATTGTAGTTGCCTAGTGAGAATGAGCCGGTCTGCTTGGATGAGGTTGTGCCACTCTACTGTACTCCCACTGCTTACCCGTTCCTTCTTTTCTTTACTGGTGCTTACCACCCTACTCCAGAGGGCTTCAGTTGGAAGAGTCCCTAGAATACCTGCAATTCATGGGCAATGCTGAGGAAGAGGAAGCTTGGATCAGTGAAAAGGAAGCTATGGTTGCCCGAGGGGAATCTGGAGACACATTGGCTGCTATTCAGGTGAGGAACAGGAAGAATGGATCAATTTTTTTGTCCCTTTAATTTGGATCTTTCCTTAAGGAGTCAGTGTTTTCACCTGTAAAATTAGAAACTTTATTCTGGTGGGAGAAGGAGATGAGGGAGATATGGACAATTCTGATAGTTTTAAACATGACAAATCAAGGTCCAAAGTCATGGAACCAATCAGGTGTGAAGGCAGGACTCAAATCTCAATACCATGATCTGTGAACTGTCTATGAGTCAAAGACATCATGGTTAAAGGTATTTACTTATAGGTTATAGGTTACAGATTTTCTAAAGATTTCCTCGAGTCCTGATGTTTTGGAAAATAATCTTCCATGTCTAAATATTGGTTACAGTTTCTACAAAATATAATTTTAAGAGAAGAGGCTATAACACAGAATAGTTCCATAGTTTAGAGACGCCATTTTTTTATTTCAAAGTATTAGGGGGTACAAATATTTTGGTTACATGGATTGCTTTTATAATGCTTTAGTCATGGTTATAAGTGTGCCTGTCTCCCAGTTACTGTTCATTGTATCCATTGGGTAGGCTTTTGCCCATCCCTTTCTCCCCACTTGCACATGTGTACACATTGGTTAGTTCCACTTAAATAGTGAGTACATGTGGTGTTTGTTTTCTGTTCTTTACATACTTCACTTAGGATAATCATCTCCAGTTCCATCCATATTGTTGCAAAAGGCATTAAGTCATCCTTCTTCTTGGCTGAGTTGCATTCCATGGTATACATATGCCACATTCTGTTAATCCACTCATGAATCCAACACTTGAGGTGATTCCACATCTTTGCAATTGTGAAGTGTGCTGAGATAGATATTTGAGTGCAGGTGTCTTTTTGATAAAATGACTTCTTTTGTTTTGGGTAAATACTCAATAGTAGGATTGCTAGATCAAATAGATCTACTTTTAGTTCTTAAATGTATTTCCATACTGTTTTCCATAGAGGTTGTACTAATTTGCAGTTCCACCTTTCTCTCTGCATCCATGTCAGCATCTATTGTTTTTGAACTTTTTAGAGACACCCTTTTAAATGCAGGATTGGATTTTTCCCCATAAAGAAATGAACAATTTATCATTGTGATTTTGAGTTAATATAGATTTTGACAGCTTTTGAGAGGATTATTACAAAATATTAATGTTCTTACCATCTTGGGAACTGTGCTCAGTAACCTCAAAAATTTGAAATTTACTAAGAACTCTTTGTGGAGATTAATTTCTTTTTATGTAATGACATAAGGTAAGGCTTAGTTACACTTGCAAAAGAAATCTTAAAACCTGTACTGTGTATAATTCAAATTATCAACTCTGCTTATTTTTAAATGTCTTTTAGAACATGTGTGTGCATATCACTGCATGTGTTCAAGCGTTTTAATGCCTTATATCAAATATTCTCACTGGCTTTTTTAATTAAACGTTTTTATTTGAAGAATTGTACACTCAGGTGTAGTTGTAAGAAATAATTCAGAGAGACACCATGTATCCTTTACCCATTTCCCTCCAATGGACACATCAATAAAAATAGTACAATATCATAACCAGGATATTGAAATTGTCATTATTCAGTTAGGATTCAGAACATCACCATCACCACAGGTATACCTCATGTTGCTGGTTTATAACCACACCCACTTCTCTTCTGCCCCCATCCTGTTTTTGGCCCCTGGCAATCATTAATCTGTTCTATATTTCTATGATTTTGTCATTTCAAGGATGTTACATAAATTAAATCATGCAGTATGTGACTTTTGGAGATTGGCTTTTTCACTTAGAGTAATACTCTGGTGATTAATTGAGGTTGTTGTGTTTGACAATAGTTCATTCCTTTTTACTGCTAAGTAGCATTGTTGTAAGAGTATAACACAGTTTATCATTCACATGTTGAAATGCATCTGAACTTTTTCTACTTTTTGGCTGCTATGAAAAAGCTACTGTACATATCCATGTACAGATTTCTACGCAAACATAAGTTTTTGTTTCTCAGATAAATGTTCAGGAGTCCAGTCACCGGACCGTATGGTGACTGCCTGTTTAGTTTTATACAAAATCAAACTGTTTTCTAGTTTGTATGGGCTATGTCATTTTACACTCTCACTAGCAATACATGAGTGATGAAGTTTGTCCATATCTTTCCTAGCATTTTGTGTTGTCACTATTTTTATTTTAGGTATGCTAGTGAGTGTGTACAGATAGGTCATTGTGGTTTTAATGTGCATATTTTAATGGCTAATGATGCTTTATACATCTTTTCATGTGTTTATTTGATGTTCATATATTTTATTAAGTGAAATGTCTATTTGTGTCTTTTACTCATTTTCTAATTGGACAGTTTGTGTGTTTGTTGGCTTTGTTTTACTGTGATAATAACACTTAATATGAGATCTACCCTCTTAATAAATTAAGTGTACTTCACATTATTGTTGACTAGACATTAGTCAACAATAATGTTGTACAGCAGATCTCTAGAGCTTATTTATCCTATTTGACTTAAATTTATGTCTGATGACTCGTAACACCTCTTTTCCCTCTTCCTTAGCCCCTGGTAATTACTATTCCATTCTTTTTTGTGTGTGTATGAGACAGTCTTGCTTTGTTGCCCTGGCTAGAGTGAGTGCCGTGGCATCAGCCTAGCTCACAGCAACCTCAAACTCCTGGGCTCAAGCGATCCTGCTGCCTCAGCCTCCTGAGTAGCTTGGACTACAGGCATGCGCCACCATGCCCGGCTAATTTTTTCTATATAATATTAGTTGGCAATTAATTTCTTCTATTTATAGTAGAGACAGGGCTTCACTCTTGCTCAGGCTGGTTTCGAACCCATGACCTCGAGCAGTCTGCCCGCCTCGGCCTCCCAGAGTACTAGGATTACAGGCGTGAGCCACTGGGCCTGGCCTATTCCATTCTTTGATTCTATGAATTTGACTAACTAATATAAGTGGAGTCATGCTATATCTCTTTCTATAACTGGCTTATTTCACTTAGCATAATGTCCTCAAAATCCACCCATGTTGTCACATATGGAAAACTTTCTTCTTTTTTAAGGCTGAACAGTATTACATTGTAAGTATACACCACATTTTCTTTATCCATTCATTTGTCAATGGACATTTAGGTTGTTACCACATTTGTTTATTGTGAACAGTATTGCAGTGAACATAAGAGTGTCCATTATCTTGTCAAGATCCTGGTTTCAATACTTTTTGCATAAATATCTAGGAAAGGATTGCTGCATCATACTCCATTTTCAATTTTTTGAAGAATGTCCATGTTGTTTCCTATAAGGGCTGCACCATTTTACACTTCAACCAATAGTGTGCAGAGGTTTCAATATCGCCACATCCTAGCTAATACTTGTTGCATTTTGTTTTTTGTTTATAGTCATCCTGACAGGTGTGATGTGAAATCTCATGTGGTTTAATTTGCATTTTCCTAATGATTTGTGATGTTGAGAATTTTTATATACCTTTGGGAACTTTATATGTCTTCTTTGGAGAAATTTCTAATTCAATTCCTAAGCCCATTTTCATTAAGTTATTAATTTTTATTATTTTATTTATTTTATTTTAGTATTGAGTTATAGTAGTCCCTTATACAGTTTGGACTAGTTTTGGCTATTCCTAATTTTTTCTGTTTCCATATAAATTTTAGAATTGATTTTTCCATTTCTTAAAAAAATGCCATTGAAATTTTTTTTTTTTTTGGTAAGGATTGTATTGAATCCATAAATCACTTTGGGTATTATGGACATTTTAACAATATTAAGTCTTCCAATCCATGAACACAGAATGTCTTTTAATTTGTGTCTTTAATTTCTTTCATGAATGTTATGTAGACTTCAGTGTATACATTTTTCACCTCCTTGGTTAAATTGAATTTTAAGTATTTTATTCTTTTTGATGTTATTTAAAAAAGAGATTGTTTTCTTAATGTCTTTTTCATATAGCTTATTTTTAGTGTGTAGAAATGCAACTCATTTTTATGTGTTGATTTTTATCCTGTAATGTTGCTGATTGGTTTATTAGTTCTGATGGCTTTGTATGGAGTCTTTAGCATTTCCTATAAAAGATCATGTCATTAGCAACAGAGACAATTTTACTTCCTCCTTTCTGATTCTGGTGCATTTTATTTTATTTTATTTTTCTTGCCTAGTTGCTCTGACTAATATTTCCAATGCTACGTTGAATAGAAGTAGGGAGAGCGGGCATCTTTGCTTTGTTCCTGATCTTAGAGGAAAACCTTTCAGTTTTTCAACATAGAGTATAATTTTAGCCGTGGGCAGAGTTGTTATCATGAAATCATGCTGAATTTTGTCAAATGCTTTTTCTGCATCTATTGAGATGATGATGTATTTTTTTAACTTTTTCCTTTGCATATGTTGAGCCATCCTTGCATCCCAGGGATAAATCTCACTTGCTCATGGTGTAGGATCCTTTTAATGTGCTGTAGGATTCAGTTGCTAGTATTTTATTTAGAGTTTTTTGCATTTATATTCATCAAGGATAATTATCTATATTTTCCTTTTTTTTTTTTTGTAGTATCTTTGTCTGGTATCAGGGTAAGGCTGGCCTTCTAAAAGGTATTTAGAAATGTTTTCTCTTCTTCAGTTGTTTGAAAGAGTTTAAAGATTGGCCTTTCTTTAAATATTTGTTTGAATTCACCAATGAAGCACCTGATACCGGGCTTTTGTTTGTTGAGAGGTTTTTAATTTCTGATTCAATCTCCATACTAGTTATAGGTATGTTCAGACTTTCTATTTCTTCATGATTTAGTATTGATACTTTGTACATTTTAGGAATTTATCCATTTCTTCTGGATTAGTCAGTTTTTAGGCATACAATTATTCATAGCAGTTTCTTATGATCCTTTTATATTATTTCTGTGGCATCAGTTCTAGTGATTTCATTTCTGAAATGATTTGTGATCATTTCACAAATGATCACAAATCATTTGTGATCTGAATTTATTATTTGGAAATAGAAGGTAAAGATATTAAAGGGACCACATTTAATGCAGTACGCATACATAAAAAAACATGGTTAATTCAGGCATCCAGTCTTACAAAGTAGACTACCTTTCCAATCTCCATTTACAAGTTCTGCAAAAAGATGAAATATAATACATACATAAAATGTAACATGGCCCATCTTGTTTTAAAATGAATAACCATCTTATTTTAATGACTCAGACCACCATGGATTGAAAATTATTTTATTTTCAAATGGTAATTTTGAAAAGGTTTATACCTAGTCATATGAACTCTGTTTCTTCCTTTAGCCTGGGTCACTATGTTGTGTAGGAAAGAAAATGATGGAGTATCTTTATGACAAGAGGGAGGCTAAGGCAGCAGTGGAGTGGCGGGTGGTCATGGCAATGAGGATGGTACAGACATAAGCTTCATTCTCACTTCTCTTTGCATTCTGCCAGCTGCACAGACATCATGTTTCCAGAGAGCAGTCAGAAACAGGGAAGATTTAGAGTGATATTCAAAAACAGTTCTATGTTCTCCTCACCCCTTATTTAGGCCCAGTTCTTAGTTTAGGATGTCCTTGATACTTAACGTTTTTCTACTAGATATAATGTTTTATAGGACTATGTGAATCTCAATAAAAAGATATCTTTATATATCACCTTGATCAGCACTCTGATTTCAAAACTGTAAAAGCTTAAGATCACATAGTAAGTTAGAAACTGTATTGCTTATATCTTTTAACTCTTTTTTTTCCAGTAGGATTTTTCTCTTCAACAAGTGAAGAGTTTGGGGAAAGGAATTTTGTAGGGTTGTCACAGAGGAAGCGGACAGTCACTTAGCCTGTCGTCAGTCTAACTGACTCGACCCTGGTGATTAGCGTTAGTACCTGAATGTCAGTTGAGGTAGATTTTCCAGCCTTGGATATTCTGATTCTCACTGACTCATGTATGCAGAATTTGCTGAAGAAGCATGAAGCTCTGGATAATGACTTTGCTGTCCACGAGACCCGAGTGCAAAACGTGTGTGCACAAGGAGAAGACATCCTGAGTAAGGTGAGCTGGTCCAGGCGTTCCAGAATTGGCTCAAATACAGAATCATTATCAGTGCAAAAATAATATTCAGAACTTTAATAATCTCTTCTAAGCTGCCTTCTGTTGTTTCTGGAAAATAATCTTCTCCACTGCTGTTTTCTGGAAGTTATTTTTTCAAATTCTTATTAATACACCATTCAGCTTTCCTTAAATCCTTTGTTAACATGTTTGCTGTCCTGAGCAGAACATGGTGTTTACAAAGGCCTTATCACTGGCTTTGGCTATGGAGTAAGACCATCTGAAGAAATTGCTTTCTAAGCTTGCAGGGAGAAGGACCACAGTGAAACCTCTTTGTAATTTGAAAATAATTATATCGTTTAAATGTTGTTTTTAAAAAACCTCATTTATCTACTAAGTGCTATATGAAGACGCCCCTGAACAGAGATGTTTCTGTGTCTTGTAAAAGCTTATACCAACTAAGAAAGCCATGCTTATGCAGGAAAACATAAGACCATCCAAATGCTAGAATGGCAATAACCTTTCACATGGATTAATACTAAAGTAATTACATTAGACCTATAGCAGAGTGGTTGTATGTTTGGAATGAGGAAGATGAGAGCTTTTAAATGGCACTAAAGAATTCACATTTCTAGCCCTGGACACTCATCAGTAGTATATCTGTCTCTCTCTTTCTCCCTTCAACTTTGGAATTCCAGGAAGAAAGTCAGAACAAAGAGAAGATTTCTGCAAAGATAGAGGCTCTGAATGAAAAGACCCCTTCGCTGGCCAAGGCCATAGCTGCTTGGAAGTTGCAACTAGAAGATGATTATGCTTTCCAGCAGTTTAACTGGAAGGCTGATGTGGTAGAGGCCTGGATAGGTATGGTGTGTCAGGGTGAGGGTCCCTTGGGTTTGAGAAATCCTAATAAATCACCTTTTATAGAATGGTTTCTGGTATCTTTTCTCTTACTGCATGGAAAGAGGTGCTCCCTTCACTACCCACTCCCATCCTTTGTGGACACAATTGCACCTACATGTGCATACACACACACAAATAAGCCTGCCGATGGGTAATTCAGCACCGTAATTCCAGAGAACACATTTTTGGGGGGAATTGGTGATCTCATGTGTGATATTCAGAAAGCTAGGTCCATGGCAAAACATTCTAAGAAATGAATTAAAATGTTCAGTTTACTTACAATTTATGTCTAATATTCACTTTTCCAGTTTTCTATGAAGCACTCAGAAGTTCTCTTGGCCCTAGCTCTGTTTCAGTCCGTTTTATCCTGCCTAACTCTAGAAAAACCATCCATTGGTTCCATGCTTCCGTAATCCAATGAACCACGTACTTTGAGAGTCAGGGAGCTCTCTTGTTTCTATTGTAAATATTCTTTGTATCCTTTTCAGGGCTTGTGTAAGACCAACTGTCTTTGTCTTCTCATTAATTATCTTTTTATTTTTGTTTGTTTATTTTTTTTTTTTTTAGCTGAGAAGGAAGCAAGCCTGAAGAACAATGGCAATGGTGCAGACCTCACTGCCTTCCTCCCTTTCCTGGCAAAGCAGGTGAGAGCAGGCTGCCGTGTGGGCAGTTGCCAGGGAAGTCCAACAGCCACATCTCACAGAAGCTCAGTCCCCCAGGAGTATTCATTTCTAAATTTGGGTATTTTATTGCCTGTAGCATCTATAATATCATTCCCTTCTCCCTTCCTAATATTGACAATTTGCTTTTCTTTCCTTCTCTCTCTCTCTCTCTCTCTCTCTCTTTCTCATTAGCCTTACTGCTAAGTGTCCAGCATTTGTTAGAGAACCCTTTGGCTTTTTATTTTTCTCTGTTTTCTTGTATTGTATTGGAATGTATTCTATTCCATTAATATGTTTTTATGCATTAATCATTTTCTTGGAAAAAATTTTCTTTATGTATTTACATTTTCTTTATGTATTCTTGGAATGTATTCTATTCCATTAATATGTTTTTATGCATTAATCATTTTCTTTTACTTTCTTTAGCATTAACTTGATGGGTTTTTTAAAAATTTGAGATGAAAAGATTATCAAAATGTTAGTCATTCTTCTTTTTCAATATAGTGATTTTAAGTATAAAAATTTACCTCTAAGCTTTAGCTGAATCTTATAAATTTTATGTCATTTTTTTGTTAGCATTTATTTTCTGTCATTTCTAATTTGACTTCTTCTTTGATCTATTGGTTATTTGATAATATATTGTTTAATTTACACACTTCAGGGGATTTTCTCATTATCTTTCTGAAATTTATATCTAGTTTAATTCCACTGTATTTTAAAAACATGTTCTATATTTATTTCCCAGGAAGGATATTTATTTTCTGAGCACCTAACTCATACAAGTACTGTGCTAAGAACTTTGCATATGTTTTCACATTTAACCCGCACAAAATTTTAATGAAGAATAAGTTCAGTAACTTTCCAGAGACAGAGAGGCATTCATGACACTGCAATTCAGCAGCAGAGACATTAATTTTTACTTGGATATGTAGGCAAGAGGCAGGTTCTGCTCTTTTCCCATCTGCTGTTAGTTCATCAGGCATCAATTCCAAGAATCTCTCCTCCTGGATTCTGGGATAGGCAGCTGTGTTCCCTGGATTCAATCACAAGACACATGGAGACCTACGCTGTTTGTGTTTTCATGAGTGAAAGTGTTCCAGAAATGCTGCGGAAAGAAACAAATGTACCGTACTCCCATGGGGCCACAAATGCCCCTCCTGGATACCCAGCCCTCTTAAAAGACACTCAATATTTTTTCATAAGTTTGATTTATATCCAGTAAATGTCCTGTTTTGCTGTATATTATATGCACATTTGAAAAGAATGTGTATTTTATTTTACAGTGATTTATGTTATTAACCATATTTTGATTATCAATCATGTTGTTTAAATACCTTGTTATTTTTATATATTTTGAAGCTTGGCGAAAAGTTTGTGTGATTGATACTCTAGAATTGTTGAATCATATGATGATATTGACATTTACATTATGAATATTCGCTTTTCTTCTAATTACATTCTTGGTTAATTCTTTTTCTTCGATACAGTAGAACACCAATTTTCTTGTCTTTCTTTAGTATTTGCGTATATATTTATTTTCTATCCTTTAGGTTTTTTTTTTAAAAATTATTCTTTATTTTTTAGATATTCTTTTTGTAAATATATAGTTGGGTTATATATTTTCCATCCTTGGTAATATTTTTTATATTGAAAAATGGTCTATTTACATTTGAAAAATTATTACATGTTTTGTTAAAAGCATATAACTTAACCCACTCAACCCTGCTTCTACCCCTTGTGTTTTGGTCAGGGATTGAATGATTCAAAGACTCTAGTTTCAGTTTTTTCGAGACTTGCCTTTTCAGTTTGCTCTAGAGACTTTTAAAGGTTTCAAGCTAAAGCTTTACCTGGTTGCTCTACTGCTGAAATGGGCACGATGACACTATTGAATATGATCATTAGTTAAGCGTTTTGTTAATTGAAATACTTAGCTACCATTGGATCCTTTAGCGTTATAGCTACAATAGCGAACTTTGTCCTCTAGAAGTTCTAGGAAAAGTTGATGTCTTGAAGGTAAGAAAAAACAACAGCAGTTCACAGTGACATTACTTTACTCCCGCAAGTTTCTCGCATCATGGGCCTAGTTGAAATCTTGGCCTTGCCTCGTTCCCCGGATATGCCCCCCCTTTTTTGTCTGTTTGTTTTTCTGTTGGCATTGATCAGAAAAGCGCCGAGCAAATGTAATATTATCTCCTCCAGCTCTCCCCCTGGGTGCAGGTTCTTTTCAACAGGGAAAAATAGAATTATTGCTTTTTAGTACTATAAATGCTGTCCCGTTCCTTTATCTGCTATCCTGGAATTGCTATGATCCTTCCAGAAAGCAGCTGCCTGAGCCTGCATTTCATTCCTTTTTCAAAGAGTTAAATTTCTTTGTACTTATCCAGCTGTTAAAGTTCTCTCAAAAGAGAATTGATCAAAACACAGCCACATATGACTGGCCCCTTTAAAGCGGAAGTGGAAAAATTCCCCAAAATTTTGTCATCGTCTGTAAATAATATAAATATTCTCGCAAAATATTCAACACAATTGGTAGAAACTGGCGACTTGGGATCAATAAAGAAGTTCTCCTTTGGTTACGCAGTTTGGTGTAATATCCGCACAAGTTCCAGTAAGATAATTACGCTAACTTAAAGTGTCAGAACAAAGAGTGGCAAACTTAAAAAACCATACATCAAAGGAAGTCTTGGAAATGAGGGTTGTAACTGTCTGAGATTAATTTTTGAATTGGGAAATTTGGCAAAAACACATTATAAGACCACAATATTCTTTCATAATGATTTTTAATGCTAACTAAAAAGATGAATATAAAAGATACATGTACAAACTACGGCATTAAGTAGAATTCATCCCTCAAATGTTCACTTTAAGTCTTTAAAGTATATATTTGTTTTCTTCTGGGTCACCATCGAAAGTTCTTTTGCCTGGCCTTTAATCATCTCTGTGATAAAAATCTGGCAGGAAAACTCAGGTTGTAAGCCTTGGGAACAGCAATTTATTTTCCTGTTCCACCTGGCCTTCCCCTCTTGCTGATTTTTTCTATTCCCCCAGGACAACACTGGGCATGCCAGTTTCTGCCAGAAGTTTCCAGCAGAGAAGAGGCGTGGGTCTGAGATCGGGACTTGTGAAGGAGCACGAGCAAAAGCTTGGTGGGCCTCGCACAGCCAAGACCAAAGCCATTGAGGAATGCTAGACGATGCCACTGCTTGAAAGCGCTGCGAAACAGTGTGGCTTGGAGGACCATATCTGCAGCCCCACTAGTACGAGGAAATTACGTAGGAAAAACAGCTAGCCTCTGCAAAAGTAAGAAGGAAAAGAAAAGAATACAGAGGAAGAACAATTGAACTGCAGATCGCGGGCCTCTATTATATTTTTTAGACTGGATTCGAAATATGCTACTGGGAAACCTGGGGTTCTAGGTTATCTACAGAACATCGTAGTGCAATAAAGGGGTCAGAGGACTTTCTACTGAGCAAAGAAGTTAATTCAGTACCTTGCTGCTTCTTAGGACTTAATCAGAGATTCCTCTTTTTAGATGGGAATTGAATACACCCCTTATAACATTGACTTCTGAGCATGCAAAGCAGACAGATACAGTGGAAAGTGGGTGAGACGAAAGGTGGAGGTAGACATAAATGGCTGGCAGGCAAGGTTGTCTGAGCTTTATCTCTAACTCAAGAAATGAAGCACTGAGAAAATAGCCATGAGCATTTCTATATCAACTTAAATCAGAGAACCTTCCTAGTGTGAGATCCTCAACTGTGTCTGTATGAACATAATGTATTCTGAACCTTGATTCCCGGATCGAATGTATCGAAAGAATGGATAATATTTCATCCTCCTTTTCCTGTCTTTCTTGTAATATTTCTATATTTAAAGAGAACAATGTGGAACCATGCAAAAATGCAGTAATTACCATAAGTTTTCCGTTTTAGTTTTATACAAGTGAATAGGAAAAATGGTCTTTCCTTCCCAGCCTGGCTCAACATTTAAGGACAAGAGTATTAATGGGAAATTAGCAACAAACACACAATAACAAATCAGTCTGGATTCTTAGTTTATCTTCTATTGAGAAAAATATATAACGCTAATACAAAAAATAAAATCTTTGCCAAATGAAAAATACATCAACTAAAATGACAGACTTATAATATATACTTGGATATTCCCATATATACTTATCACTGATTATATTATGCATTCAACATAGGAAGCTACTCTATATTCTTATTCTATTTTGCTTGATTTTTGAACTATAAAATGTTTTGTTATTTTGTTTTCTGATTATAAAATATTTGTAAAATATTTTTTTCAATCCAGGACATTATGAAAATAATATGAAGTGCTTTATAGGTTTTTGTGTCCTTCTTGTGTAGGAGCCATGTTAATTTTCTCTGTATTGGTCTAACTTAGTATATAGATTGCTGACATGAGTAAAGGGTAAGATGTAATAGTGTAATACCTTTATAACCCCCATTGATTTGGATCAATTTTCTTCACTTTAACACCCATGTTTGAGGTGTTAAAAATGAGAAAATTCATTTTCATATTTGCTCAAGACAAATCCCTTCAGAAGTACAATCTGCTGACCCAAAATCTGTGATGCATTTTAAGTTTAAAACTAGTTTTGATCACCTGCTGTTTGGAACAAGTTCATGCTATTTCTTTTCATTCAGTAATATAGACAGTTTAGTATTATTCAGAGCATGTGGGTAACTCCAGGCCATAATGCAGGGATACATAGATTCCTGCTCAGGATGTAGATTAGAGGGTAGGAAATGGGTTTAAGCAGTGGTTCAAAAGTTTTAGGCATGAGATGGCACCTGAAAGAGGTTTAGAAAAAAGACAGGACAATGGCTTAGTACAGTCAAAGAAAGGTCAGCTGGGTGTGGTCTTCAGAAGCTCACAGAGGATAAAAAGAGGAAGTGGATAAAGGATAGAACAGATTTGCCTGGTTTGTTTATTCAATCATTTTTCCAGTCATTCATTCAACATCTATTTTTGCATGTTTACTATGTATCAGGTAAAATTATAGCATAGACTTTAGAATAAGCAATTATATAAATTGAAAACTACCCTTAGAAAACTACCCACTCTTAGAATCTTAGAGCTGAAATAATGTTGGAAGTCATTCAACCTCCTCTTTTGTAAATGACAGAAGACTTGACCAATTTCACACAATAAGAAAATGCCAGGACTTGGGTTTGTACCTCTAACTCACATGTCTGTTCGTCTCATCACATGATCCCCACTGGCATTAGTCCTGACCTTTTCTTTGTTGGTCCTGCAAATATTTGAAGACAGTATTATTTTTATTCTCAATCTTCTCTTTTGCTGAGAGGCTTTATTGGGAAAGATAGAGCCATCTTTTTATTTTCTCTGCAGGCCGAGGAGCTATTCATGGAATTTGCACACAAAGCCTCAGCTTTCAACAACTGGTGTGAGAACGCTGAGGAGGACTTGTCAGAACCTGTACACTGTGTCTCCCTGAATGAGATTCGGCAGCTACAGAAGGACCACGAGGACTTCCTAGCCTCCCTGGATGGAGCTCAAGCAGACTTCAACTATTTACTGGAGCTAGACCAGCAGATTAAGGCCTTAAATGTGCCCTCTAGCCCTTACACCTGGTTAACAGTGGAAGTGCTGGAAAGGTTCTGGAAGCATCTATCTGATCTCATTAAGGTAACTTAGGACACAGCAGAAACTTCCTTTGGCTGCAGTAAGCATGACCACTTCATTCATTATCTAAGTTGGGAGACTTTCGAGAAAGAAAGAAACACTGTTAATTATACTGGGTCAGCAGTCATGAACTAAGACCATCTAAAAATATTGAGAAATATGTTTTTAATAGGTATACCCTGTGACCCACAGTTTGAACAGTCTCATGCTCTCTGGGTGTTGACTAATTAGGCAGGGCAGCAAATACAAGTTCCAAGAGGTGGTTCTAGTGATTAGTTATGAAAAGTTCATGAGATATATATATATATATATATATTCAGAGTCAATATATTCTCCCCATGTAAGGCATTCTCTATTTTATACACACCTCAAAAATGGTCCTTTTATTTATTTAATTGTAATTTTTGTCTATCTATAATGGTGTTTATTATTGAAACATAAAAAAAGTTTAACAGAAAAATTTTACTGTAATATCACCATTTTTAGGTGGCAACTCTTGCTACTGCCTTTCCCTTGAAGGCCACCTTTCTGTTTATTTAAATTAAATTTCAACTGGGAGAAAAAAGAAGATTGAGAAAGAGGGAGATTTGCATTTATCACTAGCTTACTTGTTACTGGGCTTGGTTTGGGAGTCCCATGAGCTGTCTACACATTTCGGAGCTAAGAGGAGGTGGGCTGCAAGAAACATGAGCACATAGGCATGTGCCTGTGGAACATAGCTTAGATTGGGAGAGGGAAGACATGCAGCTGAGTCTGCAAACCAGTTCTTTTACAGCAAAAAAAAAAAAAAAAAAAAAAAAGAAAGTCCTTCAATGTGAGCCCTATGGTGTGATTTGGGGTTTTAGGAACGGGAGCAGGAGCTGCAAAAGGAAGAGGCCAGACAGGTCAAGAACTTTGAGATGTGTCAAGAGTTTGAGCAGAGTGCCAGTGCTTTCTTCAGTGGATCCTGGAGACCAGGTGGGCTGTGCAACCTTCAGACCCATGGGCTCTATGCCACACTCACTATTTCCCATAGGGATAACATACGTGTCTGAAGGGGAGAGGAGAGATTCCTACAGCATACACTCTGCCCTAAAATCATCCTGTCATGTCTATGCTTTATAGTTGGAATTGACTGTTTTCTGAATCAGTCCTTGCAAAATCAAGAAATAAGAATTTCATCCTGCTGCCCATTATGTACGCTTCTTTATTCTCTCCTTGATACTCTCACCTTTCTTCCTGATGCTTGTAATTTCAGTCCAGAATAATAGCAATCCCTTATGTTTGCATGGTGCATTGCACTTTACAAAGTACTTCTATATCCATTACTTCGCTTAACTTTCAGAGCAACCTTGAAAAGTGTGTGGAGCAGATCTTATTATCTCTATTTCCAAGTATGGAAGGAAGTTCAAGTAGATAAATTGACTTGCTCAAGGTCACATATGTATTTAGTGGCACACCTAAAAGCAGGGCCTACTGTGAACACCTAATATGAAGGTATCATGTTGCCTGCCTACTAAAGCTGTAATGAGAAATGAGTGAGATAATATATATTAATTATTTTTATTAAAAGTAAAAATGTTCTGTATATGAAAATAACATTAGTCAAATCTTCTGGGGTAAATGACCTAGAAAAGAGGAGACTTAGAGGGTGCAATATGTTAGAATAAATGGTCAAAGTTGGTAGACTGTATCTAGTAGGTGGGTCAGAATTGTGTGTTTTGAGGGTAAAAGTGACAATCCATGATATATACTGTTTCTACATACTGATAAGGATAAATCAGGCAATGAACAAAAATAAATCCTGACCATGTCTTAAAAACATCTGAAAGAAGACAGAAAACAGTGTGCACACTCCTCTACTTGTAATTTGGGCTCCTTTGTCCCACCCTGGCAGGGTGGGACATTCTGTGTGTGCCCATCACTGAGATACGCCCTGACAACTGTGATCTTTGTCCTAAAGCAAGGGGCTTCATGGGAGGCTCTGAGCTTCCCAGAGTGAGAGAGGCTTCCCAGAGTGAGAGAGAAAAGTGGGTAGTTAGGTTCGTAGTTTGTGGCTATAAGGATTTGAAGAATGTTTCATAAATCTGAAGAAATAAGAAGATCATTGAACTATTCTATGTTAACATATGATTTCCCTTTTCTCTCATCTGATTCCTGTTCCGGACCTCCATGTTCAGGGCTTACTTTCTGGATGGGTCAGTATTTTATATTATCATGTTTGTTTTGTTATATTATTCTGGAAGAATCAATTAAGAAGGCCTTAGTGCTAAGGTCTGTTTATCCCATTATGATCTGACCGCGTTTAAGTACAAATGAGGGGTGAGAAGGGGAAGCTCATATTTCATTCTGCACCTATACCTTACTAGGGGGGGTGTTGCCTACATTGTTTCTGTGCATATTTGAGAATAAGAACTAGCAGGGACATGCAGGAGTCTTCTTCCAAGCAGAGAAGAAGTAAGGAAGCCCTCCCCTTCTCATTGACCTGGCAAGTTTGCCAGTAGACCGAAGGGTTTCTTTGTGAAAATTTAGCTTTGTGGGACTTCATTTCATAGAGGCCATATAGCTTGGGCGAAGTAGAAGCAGAGAGGTAGAAGGGCTTTGAGTTAGGATGTCTGTATTAAATATTGACCTCTGATATTATGAGTAATGTTTCCTTTTGGTTCTTAACTAGATCTTTGCTCAAAGAAACAGGAACTTTGGAGTCCCAGTTGGAAGCAAATAAAGTAAGTAATGTTTTGTTCCTTAGCTGAAGATATTGCCAGAATTATAAAGAGTGCGAGAAAAAACATTTAAAGGCAACCCTGGTGATACTTTCAAGCATTGTATCACCTAAAGTCAAAAAGCCAAGGCTGTAGTCCCAGTCCTGCCTTCAATTTGCATTTTAGCCACAGACTACCACTTCATGAATATGGGCCTCCACGTACTTAAATCTCTGACCTTCAATTTCTGCGTCTATATGATGGAGTTAATAGCTACATTATCGAGTTACTGCAATGATTAAGTAAAGGAGCAGATATAAAAGCTCCCATCCTACAACCTGGAGCATTGGCAAATTTCTGCTATTATTTGATGTGGTGAGATGATGCAATTGAATCTAGAGCATCTCTGACACTTGAGTGATGCCATGGGCTAGAACAGTGTTTCTCAACTTTATTTTTATTATTGGTCCTCCAACAGAAAAAAATCAATTAAATCTAATTTCTTCCTAGTCATAGAAATTAAATACTAAAGATTAAAATGTCAGGTAGTTTTAACCTTTGGAGGGCAACATGCCTTGTAATATCTAATATTTTTTCACTGCATCCCACTGTCATCAGAACCAATTTGTCCCTCCCCTCCTTGAGGAACAATATCCAAGCAGAAAGCATGGGCAAGATGTAAAAATTAGGCATACAGTGTTCCTAAATGACAGGAGAAGCCCGTGCACATCATCCTAAACTGATGACAGAGGCCCAGAATTGAACACCGGGGCACTTAAGTGAGCCCTAGAACTCAGCCACAATCAGTGGTGCAGGTAAGTCCCAGTGCAGATCACTGGGCACCTATGATGCCTGGATCCTGGGAATTCTAGTCTTGTTTATTTGCAATAGACACATAAGTGCTAACTCTTAGATTTATATATTACAGAATACCAGAATGACAGGGGTCATCTCACCTAAACTTCCCACTATTTCATAAATGAGGACTTACAGAAGTGAAGTGGTTTCCCTGGGTAGTTCATTTCTTCACAGAGGACAAGATAATCCCTGAAAATAATTGAAAAGGAGCAATTAAGGGAAACTAAATTCATCAGCCTCTTTATCTTCTTCTTCCACCTCAAGGTTTGGAGCTAGCTGGTGGCCTGGGTGACTGCTTTTCTTCTCCGTCTTTTTTCCAGAGAAAGCAGAAGGAGATCCAGGCGATGAAGCGTCAACTGACCAAGATTGAGGACCTGGGGGAAAATTTGGAAGAGGCTCTGGTTCTTGACATCAAATACAGCACCATTGGACTGGCCCAGCAGTGGGACCAGCTCTACCAGCTTGGGATGCGAATGCAACACAACCTAGAGCAACAGATCCAGGCCAAGTACTGCGGGCCGGTGGTCATGGCAGGGCAGGGCAGGGCGCAGGTGGTGTGAGGTGTTAGGAGCTTGATTAGGGGCTAGAGTCTGGAATACTAGACAAAAAAGTTACCTCAGAGATGTACACACACCTTCTCTCTAATCAATACTCTCTTTTTACTGCCCCACACAATGACTATTTCTCTTTATATTAAAGTCTGTCCTGAAATAAGAGAGTGCCTTATCCCCGTGAGTCTACACATCCCCCATCTGGACAATAACTGACTCTTGCATCCAATTTCTCAGAGTCCCTTCACCATCTTATGTGATCGCTTCAAAAAACATTCCCTTTTTAAAAATTTTCCCTAAAATATGATATCCAGAATGGAAGAAACATTCAAAATGTGGCCTAATAGAGCAGAAAAGTAGAAACTCATCTTTCTAGATAAATTAATTGTATCAATGCAGCTTTAAGTCTCAATAACTTTTTGGCAGCATTTTAATCCAGATCAGGGATTGGCATGGTTTTTCTGTAGATGGCATGATAATAAATAATTTAGGCTTTGTGAGTCATACAGTTTCTGCTGTAACTCTTCAGCTCTGCAGTTGTAGTGAAAAAGCAGCCATGGATAATTCGTAAGTGGATGAGCATGGCCGTGTTCCAGGAAAACTTTATTTATGGATACTGAAATTTGAATTTCACATTTCATGAAAGATTCTTGTTTTTATTATATTCAACCATATAAAAATGTAAAAACCACTCTTGGTTCATGGACTGTATAGAAGCAGGTGGCCAGTCAACTTTGGCCCATGGACCTTAGTTTGACAACTCCTGAACTAGATTATTCATATAGCAGATTGTCCATTAAAATTCCTCTCTCGTTGATGCGGCATGTCTTCTGCTATTCTGTGTTTTATATAAAGGGCTAATTCATGTTTTTCCTTTCAGAGACACCATAGGCGTGAGTGAAGAGACACTAAAGGAGTTTAGCACAACCTATAAGTGAGTATAATTTCATAGGTGACTAATTCTTTGTTTTCCAGGCCATTCAGAGTGAGTCTGCAAAGAGCTACCATTCTTCCTTCCCCATGTGGCTTGGGGGGATCTTAAATGAAGTTCTAGATATGCTAATTGGTTTCTGCCATGGATTTTAATATAATATTTCTGTGAAATTCTTGGACTTAAAAAATACATTTCTTTAATGCTCAATGTCTTATCCTTTTCTCTCTATCCATTAGGTTAAAAAAACAAGTACAGAGACACAGACAGGCTCTCTACTGAGTTCTCTGACAACTTTGTGGCATGTTAGTAAAGCTCCAGCTGATGCAGTGAGACATGTTCCTTTCTGTTCTAATTTGGTTCTCTATGGAGCTTGCTGTTATGTTTTTATTCTTTAGGCACTTTGATGAGAACTTGACAGGGCGCTTGACTCACGAAGAGTTCCGGTCTTGCCTGAGAGGACTTAATTACTACTTGCCCATGGTAGAGGAAGGGGTACCTGAGCCCAAGTTTGAGAAGTTCCTGAATGCTGTGGATCCCGGAAGGTAGGAGGTGGACCAAGGGTCAGACTACAGGAGGGACTGCAGCTTGTAGGGAAAAGTGCAGGGAGAAAAATAAGATATAAAATATGAAATTAGCTCATCTGAGAATAGGAAGACACAGACAACCACAAATGAGGTGGGCAACTCTTGGTGTACTTTCAAGATTAGCTCAGAAGTAAATGGCACTAACTTCAACTCAGGCACTAGCTCTGAGATTTGCCCGATTCATTGTTTGTGTCTGATCTATGGATTTCAGTTCATTCTGAGGCTGAGACGTGAGAGAAGAATCCTTTCATGTGTATGAGGTGTTAAGAAGACATGTGTGATTCAAAGGCCAACACATGGGGATGGGGGATATGGCGCGCTTTGGGAGGCGTGGCAGAGTCATAGAAGATCAAGTTACTGTTAGCAACTAAGTCTTTCTAATACCAAAGATCAAAAAGATCAGAAATTATTCAAGGTACCGAGGGACTGGTGCTGATGGGAAATTCCAAAACTCTGTGAGGAGTCAGGCTGAATGATGGACCATGAGGAAAGAGAGTCTGGACCTTAGTAAACAGTGTTTATTTGGCTGTAAGAGGGTGGGCGGGGGTATCAAAATGGAAAGTACATCCCATGATCTTAGAGAGCTCAGCTGGAAGAGGCATTTGGAAAATCGGGCTTCCCTCTGTCTCTGAGACACTGAGGAAGAGGAGAAAGGCCCTTTCTTCCTTCTCTGTCTCGAGAACCACCGCTCCTGGTGCATGTCTCCTACAGGAAGGGCTATGTCTCGCTGGAGGACTACACCTCATTCTTGATTGACAAGGAGTCAGAGAACATCAAGTCCAGTGATGAAATAGAGAATGGCTTCCAAGCCCTGGCAGAGGGCAAGGCCTATATTACCAAAGAGGACATGAAGCAGGTCAGATTCTGGTTGCCTCCACTACTACACTGTCATCATAATCTGGATTTGCTGCTCTGCCTACTCTGTCCCCACACCCCCCACCCACCCATTTCTTTCCTCAGGCCTCCTGTTGCACAAAACATCATCTGTGTTGATCGCCACATCATTTCTTTTTGACCCAGCTCAAAATCCTGTGATGGCTCTCTATTGACTATCAGAATCTATCCAAAATCTGCAACTCAGTGTTTAAGACTATTCCTTATCCCTTGTATTCAATAAACCACATGTAGGGAATGAGATATATAGACTAATCAAAGGAAGTGGGCTTTTCCTTTAATAATGAGCTGAGTTGAACAGTGGAGTTGGTCTTATGCGTTAGAAATTATGAATTTATGAGAAAAATGTGGGCTAGGAACACAGCTTGCTGCTCCTTCCAAAGGCTCTCCACATCCTGCATTTATGGCATATAGGAAGCCCCAACGAACCAGCTGTTTTGAATCCCTATAACTGTATCTTTCTCTTTTTATGTTCTTCAGGCCCTCACCCCAGAGCAAGTGTCATTCTGCACCATACATATGCAGCAGTATATGGACCCACGGGGCCGAAGCCATCCCGCTGGCTATGACTATGTTGGCTTCACCAATTCCTACTTTGGCAACTCACAAGCAGCTCCTGTGGATCGTAGAGAATCTTAGTGTGGTGGGTGGTACTGGGAGATGAAAGAGACAGGCAAATGCAAGGGATGAAAATATAGTTGTGTGTGCGTGTGTGTACGTGCGTGCGTGTGCTTGTGTGTGTGTGTGTGTGTGTGTGTGTGTGTGTGTGTTGCATTTATTGCAGGACTTAAAAAGAAATCTCAAGTTCGGGAGGGGAGTGTAGAGGGGTTAATAGAATTGGAGGACAGGACTGGAGGCTATGGACTTACTTTGTGTGCCACTAGTCACTGCCAAAGGGGGCCAAGGTCTCTATTTTTTTATTTGCTGTGTTTGTCATATCTTTATCATTTTGTTTTGATCTGACTATAAAATAAAGGATTTCTTATTTTAGAAACAGTATTTTTTTTAAATAGGACGAAGTTAAATAAATGTGATTCTGAGAATTGTACTATTATCTAAAGATGGGCAACTAATTACATGGTAAAGAAGGGCCATGGCAGTAGAGAGAAATAAAATCTAAGGTGCTTAACAAATAATTTCTTTTTAGCTTTAGAATGTGTTTAAATTCTTATATTTGATAATGAAGATATTTGATATTCTGGGAAATATCAATATTTTAGTCTGTAAAGTGGAACTTCACAGAGATCAGCATGACACCTAATTTCTTCTTAACCTGTCTCTTTTCCTTACTTCACCATAATGGTAGATGTTATTACTCTCACAATGATGAAATTCCAGCATAGCAGAGTTCCCTCTTGTCCAAGCCCCCGAATTTCCTCTTTTTTTAAAATATCAGAATATTAAGTGGGTACAAATGTTTTTGTTGCATGGATATCTTTTATAATGCTTAAGTTGGGGCTTTTAGTGTAAATTTCTTGAATTTCCTCTTAAGTTTTAATGAGATAAAAAGAATATTTACTACCTCTATCTCTTATTAGAGTAAGAGTCAGTAGAATTGTTAAAAGAACTTCAATTCTTAAAGTTAAGAATTAGGAGAAAAACAAGAAAGGGTGGTGCTGCCTCCAAAAATTTTCAGGCTGGTTTTGGTCTGAACAGGTTCAAATTCTGACATTCTGATTTGACTTACAAAAAGCTAATGGTAATGTCCTTTGCTGGTGAGAGTTCTCAGGTCTTTTCTTTGCTTTTTGTAAAACTTCTAATATTTCTATACAAACAGCCCCCACTCCCCAATCCATGAGTATTGCCATTTGATCACAATCATTAGTCTCAATCCCTTTCTCTGCATGAAAGTTAATCCTTCCTTAGCCTAAGACAAATGCTGTCATAGTATCTGTTTTAACAAAATTTAGTTTACACTAAAAAGTTATCTTTGCTGCTAAAAGTATATGAGTATTTTGGTGATTTTTGCTTAAATATTCAAAGACCGTAGAATATAACAATCAGAAAATATTTTGCAAATGAATGTTCACAAATGTCTAAATTGACTGATTATGAGTTACCAAAAATGGTTACAGTTGAAAAGGCATAGCCCAATAGGCCATCAAATATCAGTATTGTTTAATATCACACTTACCAAGTATAGAATGTCTAAAAATCTGTGTGCTGAAAATAATCACAGGCAAAGGCAGATGTGGTTTCATTCTACTCTTCAACCCTGCCACAGATTTTCAATGCCTAAATCAGATTATTAGGCATGCGATGGGTCAAAAAATGGTCTTTAAGGCAAAGGACAATTAGTATCATTTTATAAAAGAGCTTGGGTAATATAAAGGCTAGAATAGGATATTATCTGAAGAAGCAATGAAAATGCCATAAGATGAAACTATCAGTTCCTTCTGAAATCAGATTCTTACTACCTATGCACTCAAGCGAACGATGGTAATATTAAAATCAGCATATATAATTTAGCTGGGGACTATAAATAGTTGATATATAACAATTAGAACTTGTATCACATTTCCCTTTTAATCAGAGTTAAGCACCTACTAATTAATACTCATCTTTTTTTTTTTTTTTAATACTCATCTTTTTTTGACCTTCTACCTACTTTAAACTAGAGTCCTTGTCTTACTCTTGCTAATTATCTTTGTTACATCTTATGGTTTAGAGCTTGTTTCTGAGCTCCAGCCCTCTGGCTACATATATGAGTTTTCTTTCAAGATTCCCACTGCTTGGTAGGATCTCCAAACTTCTTTCACTCCTAATAACAGAACTCTCCCTTTTGCACCTTTTTTTTTTTTCTTTTTAGAAACATAATCACATTTTCTTTATTTCACTGAACTTTGGTTTAAACGCAAACACATACACTATATATAGACCAAACAACAACAACAACAGCAGCAAACCATGTTTCTTGTTCTTCAGTTAAGAACTAGACATCTGGCCTTTGACTTCTATACCAAGATCTTCAGGTCAGGTCCTCCATTTTGCACTGTGATGCAATTCAGTAATGGAATTCAATGCAGAAGTCAGCCTCAACTCCTTTAACTGGGAGAAAGATTTACATTGATGCATTTTTATGTTGGAAAAGTAGCTGTTTACAGAGGCAGATACTCAAGCACATAGATGCACTCTTTGCATACTGATTTTTATTGTCTTGACGTACTTGAAAAAATTCTGGTATTTCAGTACCATCATATTTGAATTTTACTGTTTTACTAAAGTTTGACAATTTCTTATTTCTAATTTTTGATTCACAGTTTCAATATTATTTGAGAAAGAAAAAATTAACCTGTTGGTTCAACAATTTTAGGTATGAATTTCTTAAATTCACAAAATGATATGTTTTAAATATAAAACAATAGATAGTAGCTTTACTTCCTTTTTTTATGGCCTTCTCTGATGCCAGCCATCTGATTCTGTGTTGTACCTATAGCTTGACCTATTTCCCAGTACTCAATCCTCTCAAGTCTCAGGGATCTAGATCCATCTTCCTGTCTTCTCCAGTCTGATACAGTGCTAAGTGATAGCACTTTACTCTTCTTTGTCCACCTGTATCATGAGATAGAAGATGCTGGACACTGCTGGCTCTGGCTTCTACCAACATCAACTAGACAAAAGATAGGGTAACCTAAAGTGATACTGTCTAGAAACTCTAAATAATAATAGATGGGTGGATTGGGTGCTTAAAGTATAAAACTTTATTTTAAAGAATTTATATTAATTGTCACCCCAAAATCCCTATACAGTAGATATTTTCATCATTCCATTTTCCAGATGAGAAAACGGAAGCACATAAATGTTAACAAACTTGCCCTAGGTCACACATCTAAAAAGTGTCAGGACTAGACTTAAAACCTAGCAAGTCTGACTCCAGAGTCTCTGGTATTTGTGAGCTCTTTCATGGGACCATGAGTTGGACATATGTGGTCATGTTCACATCAGAGAGGTCTTTTCTTTGCTCTGTGTGTGTACCTGGGAGAAGAGTTTTTAAGTCACATAGTCACATCCTTAATCAAAGGAGGGGATTTGAATGACCTAGGGAGATTTTTGCAGACTATTTCTGTAAAGATCTGTTTTGTAAAATACGTCTAAGTGACTTTTTACCCTTCCATGCGTAAGGTTCCTACATTTGGAAGTTAGATGGACCTTGGAGTATTACTTAGCAATTCTTGGAACATCCTTACCCACTATTGGTCAGTGTGTATTTAGAGACTATTTTGCTGGATGGACTGAATAGATTGTGGAAATGAATTTGCTCATACAGGCTCAGTGCAGTGGGGGATTATTTCCAGCCTATAGTGAAAAGGACCCTAGGGTAGATGGCTTTTCTCTCCCAACCTCTTTCTACCCTCTGACTAATATACCTACTTTTCTCCAACCTGTTCTCTTCTCTGAGATCTAGCTTCCTTCCACCCAAATTTGGTTTTCATCAAATTATAACCAAAGGATGTACTACTTTCCTGCTTCCCATGGAAAAATATAAATTCCTATCTGAAAAGTATATTCTCAGCCTAAGTTTTTCCTTTGTCTCTTAAGTCATGCCCTGCTTCTATTTCATTGTTAAATCATGTGGATCCTACTTTTTCAAAATCTTTTATGTTTGTAATTTCCTTCAGTTTCCAAGTTAACCATCCCTATTCAAGCGTCTTTGCCTTTCTTTAGGATGGCAGCAATGAATTTCTTACTGACCTCCTTGGCTCTGGTTTCTCCTAGCTGAAATACATCATCGTCTCCACTGCTCGGTTAATTTTCCTAAACCCTTCCCAGAAGCCACTCTACTCGCTGCTCAGTTTTACTGTGTCCTGTCTCCTACAGCCAAAAGGGTCGTGTTTGAAGCAAGATATTTATTTGAACTGCTGCCTGCTCACAATAAAGAAGTCTTGTCAGAAGCTAACTTCTAAAGCATCCTTTGCAAGGCATTTCCTGCCCCTCTGGACAAGGCACCACACTCTAAAATAGGCCTATATTGTCTTCCTATCAAGCCTATGGCTATTCTGTCCTCTTTTTCTAAGAATGTCTTTTCTCCCCAGTCAGGTCATTCAAAACTTCCCTATTCTTAGGCATTAGTTCAAGTACTGCCTTAGACAAGAAGCCTTTTCTGATCCTCTCCCTAGAGTAAACTCTCCCTAAGCTAAAGCCAACATCATTTTCCTTAATACATTATTACTAGTAGCAGCTGACATTTGTTGGAAGATTGCTATGATCCAAATATTGTGCTAAATCCTTTATATGTATATGCATGATCCTGTTTAGTTGCCAATACAAAACTAGGAAGTTACAACCATTTCATTTTACAGATGAGACAACTTTGAAGCTGAAAAGGTTAAATAACTTACCCAGAGTTGTTGTAAGTTGAAGAGCTTGCATTCAAACTCCTACCTGAAAGCTATGTGAGTTCACTGCACTTTTGCTTCTCCCTAAGAATGTCTGGTGCCATGTAGGACACAATGTAGGTGGAAAGTGAAACAGGCAGCTTAGGTAGTTCTGCAACAGATTGGAAAGGATTGTATCCAACTTGGGGAATGACCCAAGTTGGGGGGGGGGTCCTTGACACCCAAGATTATGAGGCCACCACAGAACATCAGCAATTATAAAGCAAAATAGGAAGTACATGTATTTTTTGAAATGGAATCTACCCAGTTTGGATAATTAATTAAAACAAGGAGGTGGGAGGAGGGGATGGGTATATTCACACCTAATGGGTGTGGTGCACAGTGTCTGGGGGATGTACACACTTGTAGTTCTGACTCAGGTAGGGCAAAGGCAATATAAGTAACCTAAACATTTGTACCCCCATATTATTCTTACACACACACACACACACACACACACACACACACACACACACATATATATATATATAAAACAAGGAGGGCAAAATAATAATGAGTCAGAGATACCAAATACTGCTATTTAAAAAATATCCAGTAGGAGAAAACCTACCTTTTCATTTAGCAAGATATAACACTAACCTAACAAACTGATATTCGCTAAATTTTAAATCTTGGAAGAACATTACAGGTCAAATAGTCTAATTATGTAATGATTTTAGAAGTCTCTGCAGTACCCCCGATAGGGCTCCTGCCAGCTCAGTCTTGAACTTGAGCACTTCAAACTGCCCTCATTTTGTTCAGCTCAGTTGGAAAATTCTTAATGATCTTAGTTAAGAAAGTTATTAATTCTTAATGGGTTGCAGTAGCTTGGGATGGCATCTATAAGGCTGAAGGTGAAAAGTTATGATGTCTTTGTGAGTTGTGTGCAGTGAGTAGAGCAGAGCCTCTGAGTTCCCAAGCAGCCTGGAAGAAGGGTAGGAGGCAAGATCAGTTTCTTCCAGGGGCATGAGGTTGGGACAGCTTTGGCCTGAGGCCCTGAATATCTGGCCCATTGGCCTGGCTTCCTGGTCTATGCCCAGCCTGCACAGAAGAGGCTGTTCTTGTGGGCTAGCCTTCATCCTTTACCCAGCAAGCTCCCTCGGAAAGCATTTCTCAGAGCTGTCTGCACAGCCCGGTTCCTTAGACTATATACAATGGGGTTGAGGAGAGGGGTCACCACAGTATAGGTGACAGCAATAAGCTGATCCCTCTCAAGAGAGTAGCTAGCTTTGGGCCTCAAGTACATGAAGGAGGCACAACCATAGTGAATAATGACCACTGTGAGATGTGAGGCGCAGGTGGAGAAGGCCTTCTTCCGCCCCTCAGCAGAGGGGATCTTCAGGATTGCAGCCAGGATGTAGCCATAGGAGATGGTGATGAAGAAGAAGGAAACCAAGAGGACCAGCAGGCTGAGAATGAGGATCCCCAGCTCACTCAGTCTTGTATCCCCACAAGCTAGGCTCAGCACTGGAGGGGTGTCACAGAAAAAGTGCTGGATCTCATGGGAGCTGCAGAATGAGAGGCGGAAAATGACCAGTGTCATTCCAAGCCCAAAGAAGTATCCACTCAGGAAGGAGGTACCAATCAGCTGGGCACAGAGGGTAGGATTCATGCGACTGGCATAGTGCAGTGGGGCACAGATGGCCACATATCTGTCAAAGCCCATGACAGCCAGGAGAAAGCAGTTGGTGCAGGCCCATGAGGCAGAGAAGAACATCTGGACAGCACAGCCCACATAGGAGATAGCCTGGCCCCCCATAGCCAGGCCAGACAGCATCCTAGGGATGATGCCCAAAGTGTAGCAGGTCTCAGAGAAGGATAAGAAGGAAAGGAATATGTACATGGGGGTGTGCAGATGACTGTCCAGCCTGATGACTACAATTATGAAGACGTTGCTGGTCAGGGTGACGAGATACAGAGAGAGGAACAAGGCAAAAAGCAGGAGTTGCAGCTCCCCAAAACTGGAGAAGCCCAGGAAGACAAAACCCCTCCAGGAGGTTCCATTGGCCTGCCCCATTCCAAGCGATATCCCCTGATAGATTTGTTGGTTCCTTCCACCTAGTGAGTAGACGCCTAGCTTCTTTCAAAGGCAGAATGAGATGGATTCTCTTTTCCTTGTGCCTGTTGTAACTTGAAAAGGAAGCTCCGATTTAGACTGCAGTCAAACTTCAGAATGGTATTTGTTACAATAGACACAGATGCATGGATCCATTCTCACATGCATGTACAATCATCTCACACATTCATATGCACATATTTGCACACATACATATATATGGCTACATATATGGAGTTACATACAAAACACACAGAATTATATACATTCAAAACTATGCATTGTACATTTACCATTAATGACCATATCTACTTACCTCACAAATACATATGCATTCAGACAGCACACAAATTTGTAGATACATACATGATATATATGTTCATACTGACCTAGTACATACACTGCCACATAAGAGTACACATGTGGACATACACATATTGCCTGTGAGAACATGAGGTGGAGGTAGAGGACTTGATGGACGTTATTTTATAGAACAAGCAACAAAGACCAAGAGAGGTGAAGTCACTTTCTTGAAGTCAAACATACCAGGCTTAAAGAACAAATATGGTGAGACCTAATCTAACATCATTTCCCTCCTAACATCATTTCCCTCTCCTCAGACACTGTGGGACACTCACGAACATGAATATAGAATAAGAAACAGCTTGTTCAGTAACAATCATTTGTGTCTATACAACGCCTCTTTGAAGCCATTTTACCCTTTCCAAATTCCTTGAGCAAGGTGGGGCGAGCTCCTTTTACATGTGAGTCTGTACTGGGCACCGAATGATAAATCAGTGCTCGGGGCAAGTTGTATATCGGGTATCTCTCAGCCCAAAGATCAGCCATCAGGCTCTGCTGCCTCCAAGATCTGCTGGGAACCAAGATATGGGAGAAATTAGGCCAGGGAGGATTCTCCACTCACCTGAAGAGGCTCTCAGCAAGACCAAGGCCTGCCTTTCAGAAGCCGTGCACTAGCCTGCTTCCCAGCAGGCTGTCCTACAGGAGAATGCCCTGATGTCCACCTGAGCAGAGTGGTGTCCCCAAATGATACCAAGAAACCTTCCACAGCCTTATCCCTAAGTGGTGAATCATATCTATTTCTATCCAAACAACTTTTCTCTCTAAGGATTCCCCAATCCCAATGGCACTGTTTCAGGAGGTATATCTAATTGTGCATCCTGTCATTAGTTGGGAATATCCTTTTGGGGAAAGCAGAAAAGGGAATGTGAGCAAAGAGATGCTAGGATCATGATTCAAACAATAATTTGTGTGTCTATTATGTGCTTAATATCGTCTTAATGATTTTCACATGATAAGTCTTTTAAAATTTGTAGCAACCTAATGAGAGATAGCATTAATAATTACATTTTAAAGAAGAGGAAAAAGTCTGATAGAGTTGAAGCAACTAACATCATTATATAGATTTAATATAATTTGTAAGGATTATTATTATTACCCCTATTTTTCAGATAAGAAAACTCAGGCATGGAAAAATTAAATAACTTACTCAAGGTAACAGGTAACACAGCAGCAAATAGACTCAAGAAGCCTTTCTCTTAATTACCATACATTCCCTGGTACCCGACATTGGTTAGGAAGATTGAAAAGATATGTAAGATGTAAAATCATATACAACATGGGTATAGATATTGGCTTTATAACTATTTTTCTTGCATTATTATTATTATTATTATTTTTTTTTTTTGAGACAGAGTCTCGCTTTGTTGCCCAGGCTAGAGTGAGTGCCGTGGCGTCAGCCTAGCTCACAGCAACCTCAAACTCCTGGGCTCAAGCAATCCTCCTGCCTCAGCCTCCCAAGTAGCTGGGACTACAGGCATTCGCCACCATGCCCGGCTAATTTTTTGTATATATATTAGTTGGCCAATTAATTTCTTTCTATTTATAATAGAGACGGGGTCTCGCTCTTGCTTAGGCTGGTTTCGAACTCATGACCTCGAGCAATCCGCCCGCCTCAGCCTCCCAGAGAGCTAGGATTACAGGCGTGAGCCACTGCGCCCGGCCTTTCTTGCATTATTGTTTTAGTTATTGATCTAGGGATTATAGCATATATTTTAAAAATAATCTATTTACATTTGACATTGAATTACTTCCAGTTAGAGAAAATTTGCAATGGCATAGATCCATTTATGTGAATCCACCAATACTTGTCATAATTTTAAAACAGGGATATGCTATTAAAAATTGAGAGAAAAATTATATATATGTGCATGATCTTTTATATTTAACTAATGTATATCATCTTAAGTCTTCATTATTTTTTTGCACACCCCACTGAAAATAAGTGTCATTTTTCCTGCAGCCTGAAGGACTTCCTTTAGTATTTCTTATAGTGCAGGTGTGCTAACAACATATTACCTACACTTGTATTTGTTTGAAAATGTCTTCATTTTTCTTTTATTTGTGAAATGTACTTTTACTGAATATAAAATTACTGCTCATCATAATTTTTTTTCTTTCACTGTTCAAAATGTCATTTTCAATGTCTCCCTCCTCCAAAGTTTCTGGTAAGAATGTTGCCATTGATTATGTCATTGTTCTAATCTATGTAATGGGTCATTTTTGTCCTGTTTCAATATTTTCTCTTTAATATCTGAAATTTGACTATAATGTACTCCAATAGGCTTCATGTATTTCTCTTATTTGTGGTTTGTTGAACATCTTATTAAATTAGTCAGTTCATATTTTCCACCAAATCTGGGAAATTTTCAGCTATTATTTCTTCAAATATCTTTCTTCTTCTTCTTTTTTTTTTTTTGTCTCCTTCTGAGATTCCAATTACACATGTATTGGACCACTTAATCCTGTCTCAAAAGTCTCAAAGAATCTTTTCATTTTATATCTATTTTTTCCTCCTTATTTTTCAGATCAGATAATTGCTATTGATTTAGTTTCAAATTCATTCTTTCTTTTTACCATCTTCAATTTGCTGTTGAGCTCATTTCATGATTTTTTCAGCTCAGCTATTGTATTCTAAAATCTAGGTTTCTAATTTTTTAATAATTTCCTATTCTGTACCAATTATCCATCTGTTTTGTCTTTATTGCTGTATTTCCCTTTCATTCTTTGAGCATATATATGATACCTAATGTGAATACTGCAAAACTTAAATTGTGAGCTCACTTAAAATCAATTTCTGTAGGCTATTTTTCCTGTGTATGGATTGTACTTTACTAAATTTTTGTATAATTAAACATTTTTAGTCGAAAACTGAACATTTTAGAAAAGACTTTGCAGTGATTCTGAAATCTGTTTCCTCACCCCCCCCCCAGGTTTGTTTTTGTTTATTTGTTTGTTTGTCTAGTAATCAGTTAACTTCCTTGGACTAAAAATGCAAAACATTTCTTACCATCTGCTTGCAGCAGATGATGTCTCTGCTCAAATTGTTTGGCTCCAAAATTCTGCTTTTTTTCTTCTGTCTTTCCTTTCAGTCTTGCCTTCTGGTTATGCCCACTATGCATACATAGTTTAGCTGTCTGCATGTTTGATAGCTCTCAGCAAATATTTGTAGAGTTTTCTCTAAGATCTTGAGACTCTTTCTTTCCATATTTCCCTAAATCTGTGAGAGTTCTGGTGTCTGACAAGCCAATAAGGTGTCCACTTGCAGCCCTCAAACAGTAGATGATACATTCAGTCAAAGGCATGTCAAACTCACAAATATTACCAAGAGTCAATCAGTCTTTCAAAAATATATTCCTCTCTCCTTGTGTTGTTTTTCTCTTTCACTGAGCTTCCTGTGGTAACCCAAGGGCTTTGGGGAGAGATAATACTCAGATTTGGCATGTCAGATCTTCTTTCACTCTCTCATTTACAAAATTTCCCTTTTATGCTTCCAATTTTGATTCTACTTTAAACTCCATTATCTGCTATCTTGAGGGTTAGGTGAGGTATGCTGGGGACTGCTCTTAAGCCAGAAAGTTTCAAACTCACAATTCTTACTTTACATGATAAAATAGTAATATTTTAATATTAACTACTTTTCAAGTTTTTGGATACCTTTGTTTATTTTCCAATGACTTCAAATAGTTTTTTAAATATTTTTGTCCATGTTTCATAATTTTTATCTACAGGAGGAATCACTGGATTTCTTCACACTATTCTTAACTCCCCCTTTTCTATTTTATGCACAACACACCCACCCACCTTGTTACTGGTTAAACACCCTGTCCTCTCAACCCATTCCTCAATTCAGCAAGACCACTTGATATTAACTGTACCAATCAGAGTATACCAATCATTGGTTGCAGAAATTAGTGTGAATGGTGGGCAGATGAATAAAACCAAGCTAATAAATGTCTCTTTTGGTTTTACATAACTCATGGTGAAAAGAAAGATGAACAAGGTCCATAAGAAAACATTTCTAGCTGAATTATAAAAACAAAAATTGTTTATGTTTGTGAAATACATTAGAAATTGCTCAAGGCAAATTTATAGTTTTAAATTCTTGTATTAGAAAAGCAGACAATATTAAAACTAAAACCATGATCTATGCTTAAAAATTAAAATGTGAGATAAAAAGTCAACCTAACCCAAAAGTGAGAAGAAAGAAAATGATAAAGATATGAACAATTGACAATAAAACAGGGGAAAAAAAGAAAAGTGGCAATATTAAAGTGGAGGTCTTGGAAGTTCTTAAGGAAACTGATAAATCCTTAACAAGATTGATCAGAAACAAAGAGAGAGGAGTCACCAAAAAGCAGATATAAAAGAGGGGATATTAATTCATATCCTATAGATAATTGGAGTATAATAAGAACATATTGTGAATAAGTTAGGGTCAATAAATCAGAAAACTTAGATAAAAAGAAAGAATTTACTTAAAAGCACCACCTACTAAAAGTGACAAAAATAAACAGAAAATCTGAGTGGCTCAAAATTTGTTTAAAAAAACATATTTCAAAGTATAAAACTTTCCAGACAGAAAATTCCAGATTCAGATGGTTTTATTAATTAATGTTATCAAATACATAAGGAAAATGTATAAACAATCTTACCCAAATTCTTTCAGGAAATAAAATGCCAGTGAACAATTCATATATCATTTTATGAGTCCAGAATAACACTAAAACTGAAATCCAACAAGCATGTTACAAAAAGCCAAAATTAGAAACCACTATAACTTGTTAACTTGGTTTCAAATACGTTTTCAACAATGTCCCTAATAAAATACCTAGAAAATCTACTAAATCTACAAAAAGGCGCTAATGGAACTATTCATAATAAATACATAATATTATTAATACATAAGTAATAATAATATCAATAATATTATTATAATAAATATTATTCATAATAAGCAAGATCTCAGGTTATCATAGATAGTAAAAGGCAATGTTACTAACAAGGAAAATAAATTTTTAACAGGCAGCTACTTGAGTAGCATAAACACTGTCTGTCTAGGTTAACATGAATCTCTCTCCTACAGAGATGTTTGCCTTACGATTAAAGGAAGCTAAGCTAAAAAAAGGGGCAGAATCTCATTAACATTCCACGCAGAGTTGGTCAATTCACATTCCAAACGGAAAAATAGTCTCAGGGAAAGAGGAGGAAAG